CGGCCACCACCAGACATGACACAGAGCTATTCGTCGTCGCGTGTGTTGTGCGAGCGAGCTACATGGGATGCATGCATCCATAGTCCGCAAGAGATTGAATGCCTTGGTTTACCATTCCAGATCCCGACACATCTGTTTATCCATTTACCCTAGATTTCGATCGCTCCCGACGCCTTCCAATCATCGTGGTGCGCCTCCGAGCAAAAGATGAACGGAACGGCCGTGTCGCGGACTAATTGGGTAATTTGTTCACAAGCGTCCACCAGGTGCGTCGTTACGAGTGCCTCAGCCTTACGCCTCGTTTCTTAACTAGCAGGCGTCTGGACCCGCTGCAGGATACGCTCCGCCACACAGCTCAACATCAGCATGAATGCACACTTCCATGCAATCTCTCCATCCCGTCGCTGAAGGTTCGAGTTGGCCTGCGCAAGATGGAGGCCTGATCACGTTTCATAGGATCTGAATCGTCTTCGCTTACAACAACCTATACGCGTGAATCAGAAGTGTTGGCGACCCCACCTGTTGCTAGCCTTTTGCTTTTTGAACTTGATGCATGGGAAAGTCACGGAGTGTAGGAGCTGCTTCGCATGAACTCGTGCACTGCCTGGATGGATACCTTGGGCACGCACCACGACGACCACACGCAGCGGCGCCGCAGAACACCCGCTTGGTCAGCTCATATTCACGATGATCATACATCATCACACTGGTGGTCAGTCCTCTTTACAGCGGGCGCGTTTCGACTTATGCAAGTTGGTGGTCATAGCAGAAGAGCAAGTTGACGTTTTACAGACGTCTTACCTGTTGCGATCGGACCATCGCGTTCCGCCAAAAATAGCACCCGTTCTTCGTCGGTAACGTACCCCAGAAATACCGTTGCCAGCCAAGCAGATCTTACAAGGGCCGCTTTCACCTTGACTGCTCGCGACCACGCTGGAGCGATCATTCGACGTTATGCGGGATCTGCAGAACTCCTTGCCTTATCTCGCGTCTCAAAGATGACGACAGATGTGAGGAACAAGCGCCCAACACGCTACTACGCGTACTATGTAGGGGCGCGATTGGTGGCTTTTGCCGAAACGAACACGATGTGCTGCAGCAATTGAGCTATTGACGCAACCATCAACAAAGCACCTCTTGTTGCTCACGGAACTGGTTGCGAAACGCTTCTGGACTTGTTTTCTAGTGTGGAGTTGTAGGACGCCCTCCGAAAGCCACGCTCCTTTTTTGCAACACCATCCCCAGAGCCGCATTCTTCGCAGGAATAAATGCTGAGACGAATTTCGGGCCAATGACCGAGAGCGTTCTTCTCTTACAACGCGATGGATCGTAGATGGTGGGGTGAGGAGTTGGGCTTAGGTCACGGCTGATGCAAGCGACGGCTCCAGATACCTTTTACGCGTTCGACAGCAAGGTGGAGCGGTACGACAGCTTTCAGATGGCGAGCAGATGCGCGTTTCATGTGGTCTGCTAAATTACCCCTGAGAATGCGGCCCTAGGGTGGTAGCGCTGGGGTCCCTGCAGCGCCGTCGCGGCGATCTCCCTTAGAGCATCGCGACGCTTGACGCGCTCACAAATTCAGATCGCAATAGGAGAGTGAGATCACCGAGGGCGTTATTGACGACTAGAGGGAGTCGTTGCATAGTGGGAAACTCTCCGTGCCATAGTTGCATGTTCTAGTACCGGAAGGGTGTGGCTTAGTGACCAGGCATGCGTGCCTGGGTGCCTGCATGCCAAGGCAGTCTCTTAGTGCCTTCTTGAAACCCGTGAAACAGACCACGGGTGCTGCTCTTCTAAACAAGAGCCGTCCGTCTCCGCCCGGGAAATTGGACGATCAATGTCTTCCTGACGGCCTAAGAATTGAGCTTATACCCATCCGTATACCTTTGTCGAAAGCTTCTCGAACGCTTCCATTTCGCGCGCACTCGCCTCCCTTTCATAGTCACCTCTGCTCTTCCCGCCCAACACGGCCCGTGAACCACTCATTTCCGGCATGATACTGCCTTCTACACACACATAGGATAACATGGAGGCCGACGAGGCTCAACTTTACGGATTCCAGACTCCTCAGCAGAGCAACTCCTTCAAGCGACCGCGTCGCAGTCTACAAAGCACCACTCCCTTGAGCAGCGTGACCGAGAGCGTTACTTCCTCCCCTCGACACTCTGGCCAGAACCAGTTTGCACCTCAGCTCTTTGACCACGTCAATGCGCTGAAGCACCTTGACGACCAGCAAATCCTCCAGCTACTATCCGTTGCGCGCAATGGAGGTCAGTCGAATAACAGCCCTGGCGGCGCGTTATTTGCTCACGCGTATCCAGATGGCATGCGTCGTTCGGCCGCAGACAGGTCGTCTATGTCGACTGTCGGAAGCCGCGCGTCCTCATACTTGAGCGTCCCCTCCAGCAGAGTGCCCAGTATGATGTCCGACCCGCGCTCGTCCATCGCATCTACCGACTCCTCTTTCACACACTACAGCGCTGCATCCTCACGCCTTTCTACCGCATCTTCAAACCGGCTTTCTACAATATCCACCACATCGACACCTGCGCCCAAGAACTTTGCCTGCACATTCTGCGACAAGGCGCTCAAATCGAAGCCGTACTGGAAGTCGCACGAAGAAGAGTTTCACGAGCAGCGACTCACATGGCGATGTCCCGACTGCGAACAGATCTTCCATGCTGGCAAGCGCTTCCGTGAGCACCATACCAAGTTACATGTAAGTCTAGTGTCCTTTCTTTTTCCCGCGTTCCCGCTAACCGTTGATAGGGCTGTGAGCACTGCAAGCAACCTAGGGAGAGCGGACAACCCACTAGCAGGAAAGCATCGCCATGCGTCAAGAAGTACGAGATCGTCATGCACGACAAGGACGCGTGGGGTTGTGGCTTCTGTGCTTCTCTTTTGACCACTTGGGAGGAACGATGCGAGCACATTGCGCTTCATTTTGAAGAGAAGGGTGCATCCAAGTGGAACTTCACGAATGTCGTCCTCGGTCTCTTGAAGCAACCCGAAGTCGCCAACGCGTGGAACCAGATGATGCTCGATCGTCATGGAGACGAACAGAACTGGCCGTCGCTGTCATGGGAGTCTAAGAAGTGCAACCGTTTACGGTACAAGCTCGAAACTAAGTGGGACACCCGCTCCTACGATATCGAGAAGCTGGTGCAGGACACTTATGACTTGGCGGAGATCGAGGTTAAGGACGTCGTCGAACCCACAACGGAAGTCACCCCCGAAGCCACAGAGTCTGTTGACAACAGTCAAGGCGAGATGGTGGAGTTCAAGCTGGAAGCGTCTGACTTCGGCACTGACAACAGGCTCCATAGCTCCCACGGGCTACCGTCCGACCATATGATGATGGATATCGATGCGGTGGAACCTCCGCAGCCGATGCATCACCAAGAGATGCAGCCATCTCAATGGCCTGTCAGCACCGATATGTCTCATTCCATGAGCGCGGCTACTTCGATGGGCGGTTTCGACGCTTTCGGTACCACCATGACTTCGATGCCAACGGATTTCTCGCAACCTATGGCGCAGAGCTTCCAGCCACAGCAACAAAACTGGTCAAATGCCGGCTTTGCATCGACGCCTGACCTACTGAACTACCAACAACCAGCGCAGTACATGGACTACCAGCAGCCCAAAGAGATCGTCTCTGTACCCACGTCGCAGTACGCCAACTTCGCGCACTACCCTCGCCAAAGCCTCCCGCCCAATTTCCTGCAGCAGCAACAGCAACAACAGTCACCTAGCACTCCGACTTCGCGTCGATACGTTCCCAAACTAATTAACATCTCGAACAATTCGAGCCACCGTGGCGTGCAATTGGAACAAGCGCCACCCCCACCTCCTAAAGACGAACACCAGAACCGCTTCTCCCGGCTCATCATGAGACGACGACCCAGCAACATTTCCCAACATAGCATGGTCTCGCACCGTGACATGGGCGGCACATGGGGCGATGTCGACAACTGGGGCTGAATTTGATTCGGTGTCTCACTCTTACCGCGCATTTTCCGCGCATAATAACACACAATCTCCTGCACCCGGCCGGCCCGGTTCTCGCACGGCACTCTCCTTAGAAAGAAACAAACAAACCATAAAGCACCGCAAAAGGTGACTCCGAACCTCGCTGTTCATCTCTGGGTCCTGGTGTCACTATCCGCCCTGCACCCCTAGGTGAAGCGAGCTACACGTCACCGCAACGGAGATCGAAATTACCCATCTGCAGCTTCTCAGCTCTTTCTCCTTGTTCTTTTTTCCTTACGTATACACACACATGTTTTTCCAGCGGGATGGGATGAGGATATACCCATATATGCAGCGATTGCTTTTCATCTTGTTGTCATCGCCGCAACGTAGTTTAGTGTCTTGTTGAGTGTCCACTTTCGGTTGCAGCACCTAATACCCCCCTTTTCATGTTAACCTTTCGATGCCGACGCGATTGATGTAATGATGGGGATTGGAATGAAATTTGGACTTGGAAGGGCAGATACCATATAGAGTAACTTCAATGTGTTTCTTAACTCTGCACATAAACTTGTCTGCTGTCTGCTATGGTGATGGTCTTGTTTGTTGGTGATATTGCTTCAGAAACATGTCATAATTATCTTTGACATCAAGGTTTAACGTGTTCATCATATCCTGCAGGCCAGATAGTGCCATGTCTAGATGCCTCCACACCACCCATGGTAATCCCATCACTAACTCACTTGCGTAGCGCGCCTATCATCCTATCACGCCCTGTTTCCAAATCTTTATTTCCTCCCGATGTTGGCTCATCAAGGCAGCATACCCAATTTTTCTTTTTCTTCCCTTTTCTTCATGTATGTTTTGGATGTGTGGATTGAAACATGCATATGAGCACGTCTCAAAGCCACCTTCCTTTTTTGTTTACTCTCTCAGGCAGCAGTACCTTTTGTTTCGTTTCATTTGCATCGTGATGGGATTTGAATGTGCGTACAATGTTACGGCTCAATGGGTGTGTTGTTGTTCGGTCAGGGTACACTTGATTCAAACGTGCATGTGATGCTCCGTCTCACCATGTGTGTGTGATCTTTCATCGTGGTCTGGAAGGCTGTCGGATGTGATCGCAGCGATCCAAGATGTGCATATGATGCTCCATCTTGTTAGATGATATGTCGTGAATGTTGTAAGTCGTATGTCGTGGGGTGTAGGGTGTAGGGTGTACGTTATGTGTCGTGTGGAATGTGTTGTACACAGGTTGTCAAGGTCGTGACTTGCTCAAAATCTGACATCGAACTTACGAACCGCCTTGTACCAGCTATCATACGTGATAAAACCCTCGTGCTCACCATGGGCTTTGACCAGCTCATACATGGGAGATGACTCGGGTACGGCACTCAGAAAATGGCGTAGAGCTGACCCGTACTCGTTAGATATCCCATGATATTTTTCAAGGATCTCAGACGGCGTAGCGGTGATTTCTCCATCATCGAACTCGTCCGGCTGCTCAGCGGAACTCAAGGCCAAGTCCATGTCAAAGAGAGACGTCCCCAGGCTTGCGATGGTCTTGATGGACTGCAAGTTGCCGTGCTGTACAAAAACCTTGTCGAAGTCCAACCACATATAGTGGCGGAAGAGCCACTTGGAAAGTCCATCGTTGGCGTATTGGATAGCTGCATCCTTGACAGTGGCGTTAAGATGACCATACAGTCCGTCATCGTTACGGCCGATAGCATCCTCGAAGTTGATCAAGTCAATCAGCATAGCGACGTGCTGCTCGCGCTTTGATGCCGGTGTCCCGTACAGTGCCAGTACCTTGTCAATCTGAGCTTCGAAGTCCTTGCGCTGCGCCTTTCCGATCTTGAAGACGCGTAGAGTCTTGTGCTTCAGCTCATCGAAGACAACGACTGCCTCCTTCGCAGGAAAAGCCTTGTTAAGGATTGCGACGATTCGGCCCACAGACTTGCGCTTCGGTCCAGCGACCTTGTCAGCCTCGGAAACGACTCTATCGTTGGAGTGGGAGGGAGACACAACAATTGTAGGTTTCACAGGCTCTTTCTGCTTTGTGGCTGACGCGATAGGGGTCTTCTTCTTTGCCAGCCTTGCTTTAGCCTCCTTCTCCATACGATCAAGCTTCGCTTGCATCTAGCCGAAAGCCTTGTCAACCTCCCCCGATTTGGCGGTGCAGGCTTTCTCTGTGGCCGCTTGCCTTGAGATGTCTGCTTCAAGCTTAGCTTGAAGTGCCTCCACTGCTTCCTCGCGCTTGGAGAGGGAAGCCGCACGCTCATCGAGTTCCTTCTGCTTGTCGGCTATTGCCTTCGTAGAAAGGTTGGTCTTCTCGAGGCTCGTAATTCGTTGAAGAACCTCGTCGTGCGACTGCTTCTGCTTGACCTCAGCGTCGGCCCTCTTGGCTTCGGCCTCGATTCTCGCAGTCCTCTCCTCCTACAGGAGCCTCAAGATCGTCTCCAGCTTGCCGTCGTTGGTGGATGATACCACTGGACCAGTCTTTTCTGGAGTAGACTTCGGGGAGGACTCAGGTGACAACAAGCTGAGTTGAACAGGAGAGGCGTCCCTGGTTGTGGGGCTAGGAGACGATGAAGATGCAGACGAACTTCCAGTCGAGGTCTTCTCTGTGGGCTTGGTAGATACGTTGAACGAGAAAGGCTTGTCTGTGGTCTTCGCTCCAGTATCGGAGTTGCCAAAGATGACCGTCAGTGGTGGTCGGCCAGTGGAGACGTGAGGTGTAGTGCCCTTTGGGTAGGCGGTGCATTCGCGCAGCCAATTCGAGAAATCTTGCCATCCAGTCGGAAGGTCATCGCGGATTTCCTCGATTCTAGCAACGAGAGCTGACATCGTCTGAAGATATCCTTCTAGATCCGTCTTCTTGCTGGCGCATACAGGGTTCTCAATGTTCCTGACATAATCGCGAATAGTTGAGTCTGGAAGTTTAAGTGTCGGCTCAGGACAGTCATCGGAAATCTTGTCGCGACACTCGGTGAGTAGACGTAGAATCGTAGCTGCGTTCTTATTGCGCTCGCCTGGAGGAATAGAGCTCATGATGTTTCTTGGTATGGGGGTTGGCTATATGATACCGTCAATTGAAAGTTCAATGTTGAGTGTGTAAGGTTTTGGTAACAAAGACAAGCCGTTTTACTGAATGATTGTGCGAGACAACGCGGGGTTTATGACGTCGAAGTGAAAGGGAGAACATACCTCTTAACGCTGGGTCGTTGCGCTGCACAAATGGCGTGCGTTGGGTGTTGGTGCGGAAGGTCTAGGATCTTGCAAATTGAACGTTTATGAGAGGCTGATCAACGATGATTAACACTGTGTGAGTAAGGAAGTGTTGTTGTTGGGTGTGCAGAGGTTGGATTGCGAAGAAGATGAGAGTTTACGCGTAGGCTAGGTTATAGAAACGCAAACGGGCGTGAAGGCTAGCGCCATGTATAGCGCCCAGGCTGTGCAATACAATGCAGCAGAAAAGGATCAACCAGGTGACGGAGCAGGTGACGGTGACAGTGACGGTGATTGTGATTAGCCCAGTAGGCGTTTCGCAGAGAACCTTTCACTGCACTCCATGAAAACCTAGAGTCCTTTTTATAAGCTTCCTTCTCTTCCAACTACGAAAAAGGAGTGCGAATACAACAATGCTGCCATGTGTCACTCAAAATATACCTCCTGAAGTATGCTGACTCCTAAAGCATCACTGCCTGCCAAGATTATAGCTTGTTGGGTACTAGCCCTTGCGACAAACTCATGTCATTCCGTAGATAAACGCCTAAGCTCATCATAGTTTACGTATCAAAGTGACGAATGTGGTGATTCGTAAATATGAGGAACTTGCTCGACACTGAAAGCTTTGTGGTGTTGTGTCGTCCTCATCGGCGGTCGCTGGTTCTGGGGTGGCCACATTCCCACAAGAGCTCCCGGTTCCCTATGGACGTTACGTATCCAGTTGAAACCTTATGACAGAATTTGAACTAGAATTTTCGATCATTCTGGGCGTGATGCGATAATGGCAAAGAAGGACAGAAAGGTTGGGTGGGCGCTGACGGGATCGACTTGCCCCACTTCGGACGGACCGGTCCGCCTCCAGGTCACAGAGCATTTTGCGTCTCTTCTCTTCTCTTGTTACCAGGAATGCCCCGACAATCCCCAAATGAGAGCATGGTCGAGTTGTTGAAAGTCTGGGTATTGTTGACCATGAGTCAAGAACATAACACCGAGGTTGCTATTAGCAACATGCACTCTCGACTGCATTCCTGACACTGCCTCAACGACACCATCGGCAGTGATATCGAGCTTCCCTTGGTTGAATAGTGATGCGGTGTCGTAAGGTATCATCGGCTTAGCAGATCAAATATCGTCAAACCACAGGATGCGATTGAGATTGTGTACATTACAAGAGGTCACTGTAGCTGCTCTTCCTATCTTCAAGCTCGTGCTTTCGGCCAAGTAGATATACACGGTAAAAGCAGGTTAATGAGAACCGAAGACAGAACCAGATGCTAGAGAAGCTACAGTGTCAGCGAAACAGTTGCGGGAAAGCTCTTGCGCGTTTTGAAAGATAGCATGGTTGACTTACGCAGCAAATACAGATATTCCGTACGAACATCTCATGAGCTCGCACCCATATCGAGTTGACGGTGATACCTCCGAACACTCGCGCTCCAAATACCAGGGCCGTAGACTAATGTGTTTTGGATCTGAGAAGTCGCCCAAGTCCTGGAGACATGCACTGTATATCCACAGTCCTGCAAGCAAGATGTCATATAATGCATTTACCGTGATTGTAGCGTAGAAGTCGAGAGCCTGCTTGCTGAAAGACATGATTGAGAAGCGAACGAGCCAGATGAACAGGGTTACGATTGCGATGCATAGGTTGCATAAAGTACAGCTGCCTGAGGTATCAGAGTCCTGCATTGCTATCGTATGCAGAACATTCGAACAGACCTTTCATCCCATATCAAGGGTATCGGCGGTGACTTGCGATAATTTGCATAGTCATAGACACGTTGATGAGGGTCGGAGTTCCAGCCTTTAGTGCCACCTTCTTGCCAAAGCACGGTTCGAAAGCGGTCGGGGTATACGGTTGCGAAGAGCGAGAGAATTACGATAGCTAGGATCAGATCGAACAATGTGGCGCCGAGAAAGATCAGGTAGGGGTTGCGGTGCATGATGAGCGGTACGGCGAACGGACAACAAATTCATCCTACTACTACTGAAAACTATGGAGGTGTGCAGTGAGGATCTTTATATCGTTCAAGTGATGAGAACCGACAAGGAGGATGGGCGCTAGAGCAATGTCAACACACCTGTAGTTGTCTCGGGTACTCATCTGCGTTGCGTCTGTGCCAAGGTCCGGAATGGAATCACTTCAGGTCGCGACTATTCTTCCCGCCTATGAATGGCAGACTCACGGTAATGTGGAGGGGGTCCACTAGCCTAGTGGTGGGTTACTTGCATGCCCTCTGCATAAGCCCGCTTTTCAGTAAGAAGAAGCGCCAAGCAAAGTCGCGCAAATGCCCTCATTTTCCAACGTTGAGAAGGCACACCTAAACAACGCCCTCAAAGACTGCGTTTTGATTGCGACGAGTACATGCGCAAAAATGCGTCCGTTCTCGTGTGCTCATCCATGTGTTTTACAACGGCCATGGTTCTTGCAAGGGGCACTGGTCCGCTACCGGTGATATTGGTCATGCTAAGAGTTGGATAATTTGACACATGGGTTGTCGCATAGTCTAGCAGCTGTACGTGGCTGTCATGTTAACTTGAAGAAACACAAATCAGACCAGGTAGCTCTGATAGCGTAGCAATGTGACTTGCTTATTTCATATCTATCTATATCGTACATGTGCGTATGTTTCTCTACGCTCGTATCAGCTACGCTAATAGTTGCTAGCTGTCCCATAATGCGTGTGCTCACCATGACACCTGCAAATCGTCTGTTCTTGCGAACTCCTTTCTAATACGCCCTGCGCAGTCCAACTCTTCGTGTGCCCCTCAAGCTCTCGCAAGCCTGCCGAAGCTCCAGCTTCATTATACATGTCGCTCTCGCCACGATCCACACTGTCTTGCCATGCGGCATCGATAGCCTTCGTGTCACTTCCACCGGAATGCTCACTGCTTCGTGAGCGAACGGTCGCGTTTCTTCGTAGTACTCGCATATCCTGATAACTCTTTCTGATCCAAACCTTTCAACAGATACCACGTCGCGAACCCGGCAAAGAAAACCATATTTACTTGATAGGTATAGCGCAGCAGTGTACCGAGGCGGTGGTTTGGTTTAGGGGTCATGGTGTGCGTGTCGGGAATGCGGATGAGGCTGGTATCTGCAACTGAAGGTGTGTGCTCAGGTGAGCGAAGGATCACGTTCCGAGGGTGACAGTGACGTCACAAGCACGTCTTCCCGCTCGAGCGTAACTCTGCTTGGACGTCCATAACAACCGACGGTGTACCTCCACCGTGACACTCTTCTATCCCAAGCCTTGCAGTGGCGTCTTTCGTTATCTGAGGGCTCATGTGCTACGGCGCCTGCTTCGTGCATCAACGTCGCGAACCTCGGTATCGCTCTGGGTTACAGCTGAGTCGATTCTTTGCCCTAATTACACAATTATAATCGATCGAGATTGTACTCCTTTGTTACTTTAATCTCATTCGCTCCCAATGAACTCAACCTCTCGGCAGGATCCGATTCGCTGCTCAACGTGACGAAAGTAGCCGCCTGTGGTTTTGCGCTCTGCGGCATCCATTGCGAAGGTGGTGCGTTGAGGTTTGATGTTGACGAGCCGTTGCTTGCTGTCCGGAACTTCATCCGCCGGAGACCAATACTCTCGTCGGTGGCGAGTGGGGGAGTTCGGCGCCACGTTGGTAGTGACCTGACATTAGGTACGCAGCAGCAGACAATGCCGACGGCGACTTCAATTGGGGAGAAACAGACGCGCCACCACGATGCACCAATCGGGTCTTCGTCGACGTTGCCGAAAACATCAATCGCACAGTCGATGCGAAGGACAGCCAGAATGGTGCAGCTGCGCGGTGTCAGTAAGGGCTGCTCGGATCGAAGAGTAGGTTTCACTTACAAGCATCCGAGGAGAAATAAAACCATCACCCACAGCTTCTTCTTCCCCGACAGGTCTGCTGCTGCTACGGCAGGCAATGGAGCAAAGAGGATGACACTGTTGAAGAAGACGTGCAACGAGCCGATGATGATGCACGACTTCTTGCTCTGCAGCTTACACTCTCCAGGGGGATGGCACATGCTGATCCAACCCGCGAGCGACCAAATATACCAGATCGCGATGAGCGCTATAGACACATAACAGGCTATGCGGGCAAACACTCTCTTCTCGTATAGCCGTAGGTAGGATTTCGCGAAGCCCAACTGCACGGTTGCAATCGATGTAGCCCAGCAGATGTCAAGTGCGAACTGCATCTTCAATGCCTGTTAGCAAAACTCTGATGGACGTCAGGCCAAACATACCCGCAGCCAGAATCGCTCCACAACGTCAAAGTTCTTAGTCGGATCCGCCTTGATCTGATCGCTCGTCAAGCCTTCTCCACCCAGGAATACTAGCACGTAGACTAAAGCAACTACGACGAAGCTCATAGCCTGCGAGATGTCAGCATCGATCCGCAACCGAGATCCTGCAGTCCTACCAGAGCAGCCAGCATCAACGCATCTTCGCCCAAGGTATTGACCCTTCGAACACTCCTTGTGTACCATCTCGCTGCTACCACCGCCGCCGCAACCACAAAGCATATGGTAGGCGCGATCAGCAACGCAAGTTGCTTGCCATTCACGATATCGAAACGATCTGAGTTCTTCCCCGCCATGGTAAATATTATCCACCTCTTCTTCACTTCACCGCATACCGGGCGCACGTCAAAGTCAAAGTCGTCGAGAGAGGGGCGATACTGGAACCAGGATTAGAAAAGCCCCGAGCGGAGCGAACGTATGTAGATAAAGCCAAAGAGGCGATCCTCCCAGTTGCCCGGTCCAGAGCACGGAGCTGTCATGCACTATGCTCGTTGAGTCCACCGTCGTCAACGCCTATCTCGCGGGATACCTAGGGTGCCTCAGCCGTGCGGCCCATGCGACATGTCTGCTTACGGCTTTTCGGGAGTCAAAAGTTAGTTAGGGAGCGTAGCGGGGGCCGTGCTCCACGTCGCTGATTTGTTGCACATCAGGCGGTCCGACGCGGAACACGGCCGACCTGCATTAATCCTTGCTAACCATTTACTTCTGATCCAATCGAGTCGCCTTAGGGCAGCACACCAACACGCACCCTTCCATGGGGGGCATGCTCGTCCGGAAACCGATACGGCTAAAATGTACTATGACAAGCAAAAAGTAATATAGGAAGCTGGTATGTCTCTGCGATGTTCTGGTAGGTTTCCCATAGTAGTTTCACTGTCGTCGAGGCGATCGGTTGATCAGAAGTAAGAGGACGCTATGGGCGATCCGCGCATATGTCTGCATCATCACATGCGGGGTTGCCGAAGCGTGGAAGCTGAACACCCCCGGGGGCGATGGTTTGCATCCCCTATCGATCACGCAGCCCCAGGCTGAATACCGCGAACTGAAACAAGCCGCCGCCGAGTCGGCCGTTCTTCGTCGCGTGGCCGCCAGGACTAGGATTCTGTGCAAGCGAGGTGGCGCTTCTATCGTGACCCAGAACACGGACTTCACCTAGCGACAAGTTTGTAAGTTTACTTCCCAGATCGTGCACTCCCGCAGCCCAAAGGAACAGCGTTCATCCGAGCAAGTTAATTAGTTCTCAAACCTCAACAGTGCCACGGTCTCGCCCAACGCCAGAAAAAAGCCTCCAGGACGTTTTCCTTTGATTTTGTGGCGGCCCGATCGTGCTCCGAATAAATCTCCGACGTTATACCGTATGCACACGCGTGCGACGGGAGAGTTTCCAAAATGACGTTCTGGAATCAGACCATATAAAACCATATCTAGGATTTCTCCCGGCCATTTGCTGCCTTATTGTTTCGGCCTAAACTTTCCTATTGACGTCACTTTTGATATTGAATATCGGCATAGGATAAACATTGGGCAATGCAGACGCCTATCACAACAGCGCAGTGCGGAGTAGGAGTGAGTAATGGACATCACGTGCATGGCTTATCTGGTACAGTCACAGCGAACCTTGGAATAGAGCACTCAGGGAAACAAGCGAGCGAATGAGAAGTGATGCATTCCAAACCACCTATACCACGTTACGTGAAAACCATGCGTAGAGACCCTCGTTACCGTTAAAAGAGAAAACCACAAACCCAATAATCCACCCAGGAGGTCCTCACAGACTCGTCAACCAGTGTACATAAACCCCAAAGCGTAGCGAGGAGGTTCTCGCACAATCCCAAAATCCCAACCCTAAAACCATCCTACTATTCTGCCACCAGAGAAGTCTGGCTGGCAACGTTGGCGTACGCTTTTGGGGAAGAGTTCGATCCTGCACATTGGGCAGGAGTTGCTGTCCTTCAGCCATGTGTCGATGCATGTCTTGCCGAAAACGTGACCGCAGGCATTTAGCCTTGCTCCGACTTGTTCCTCTTGATTGTGGTGGCGATGAGGGTATTGATGGCGGTGGATGTCGGAGATGTCTTGGTATGTGTCGACTTCATCGTCGAGCAGTTTTCGTTCAGCTTTGGTCAGAGGCTTATGGGCAGTCTCTGATGCCTCGCAAGCGAGGTCTTTCAGGCAGATGCTGCAGCAATCTGCTTTGGTGGAGGTTGTGAGGTAGGGAGCCAAGCCGGACTTCTCGAAGGTAGCCTTGTCGGCGTAGACGGGTTTGGTGGAAGGCATGTTGATGGTGATGATGATGATATGGTAAGATGTCTTGGGTAGGCGTAGTAGTAGTGGTTGTAGTGTTGTCTGAAGATAGTTGGGATGGTATGCTGAGATAATCTTCGAATTGTAGGCCTTTGGAGTTATGACTTTTGCTGATGAAAGAAAAGAGAAGAGAAGGGACAGAAAGGACAGCTTTTATGGCGAACGAGCGAGGAAAGCACAGGCGATGATTTCGGGCGCGGCATCTGAACCATACTGTGAGTCGACACGAGCAGGTCAATGCATCCTATATCCTTTACGTTATTGTAAGCAGAAGTCCGCGGTACCAAGAGTATCACGATACTGTGCCTCAGCGGAGCTTCATGGAGATAAGCGAGCATGTCAGATGCTAGATAATCACTCTAGGGTCCATCAAAACATCAACCAAGGGTCCAAGATCCACTGCGGCATTCTAATCCGGACATTCATGTTTACAGGCTGCCCCGTGAGAAGATAGATGTATTCAAGATAATTTAGGCAACGTTTCTATGGTGCTCATCATTACATCAACATGGGCAAATTTCCACATCAGCAAAGATAACAAAGAGTGTAACCACTATATACAGGGTCTACAGAGTCTCAAACTTCCGGTCGCGTAATCGACTCAAGCCTGCAACGGCTCCGAATGCGATTCTGCCCACACTATCCGTTGGTCTTTCATCCCCAACAAATCCCGGGCAAGCAGCCATGGTCTGCTTCCATTGTCTATGTCCCTCAGCAGCGCTCAAAATATCCGCATGGACCGTCCCGGCCTTGACCATTACCTCCCCACCCAGCCATGGCACAAACGGCTTTCCGTAAACGGCATAGATGGCGAGCACTAGTAGCCCGAGGAGATGAAGACCGAGAAAGATGGAGCCAATGATGATTTCCACAATCGTTATCTTGGTCTTGCTGATTGTGACGCCTTGGTCGGCAACCACTGGCCGCTTTGCATCGTAAGACAGAGCGTATCCTCTGGCTTGATCCAGCCAGTCCTTGTTAGCGAGGTAAGCGCCCACAGTAAACGCTTCTCTTGCAGTGCTCTCTTGCGAAAACCAGTTTATAAAACTTTTCAATTCTCCGATAATGTCGTCTTCGTCCTCATGGTCATAGTCTTCATTACAGTTCCTCGTGCTTGCAAAAACAAAGGAAAGAGGCATAGATGAGTCGCAATTTGAGCTCCGAGGCGTATACCATGCATCGTATTCGGCATCGTATACCTTGGCTCGATTGATTACGAAAGCGGATGGATTCGAAACGCGTTTCTCGATGTAAGAGCCTTCACCAAAGAGGGCTAGTCCAAGCGTAGTCAGAGGACCGATATTCCTTCCTATGCTCTGTGTGACATTTCCAGCATAGCTGCCGTTGGTATCCCGAACTGCCAGGCCTTTTCCCCAACTACTGTCTCTGTTCGAGCCCCAGTCGTCGATGCGTGGCAGGGAACAATTGTCGAGCAAGGGCCCGGCGCGATTCCCATTCTTGGTAGACGGAAGCTCGAAGTAACCTAATGACGTTTTCGCAGTTATTCTGTAGTAGAGGGGGTTTTCTTCGTATCGTGCTGTTACGTTGAGATAGAGCTCTTCTGTGATATCCTGCCGATTGTGTGTAGCTTGCCAGGGTGTGTCGCTAATATTTGTAGGCATGCAAGCCGTTAGATCGATGTCGTAGGCCCTAGGACGACGTGAGTGATACTCTGCAAAGAATACACCTTCTTTGTCACGAACACACTCGCTTGGCCATTCGGCAGCAGTCATGTTCGTATATGTAACCGTTGTGTTGATGCGCGGCACATACTGAAGCTCCTTGTAGACGCCGGTGTTGTAGTCCGAGGGTAAGGGTGTGAACCAAAGGTCTGGGTAATCGGAATCGGCGATTATCTGGAAATCCCTCCGATAATCGAAGTAACGGCATTGACTTGGATTCCGACACATGCCATTACCCTCCGGCTTGACCCAGAGGAAGGGTTCATAATGGTCCTCCGTAATCGATTCTAGGATGCTACGGAGTTGAACGACCCTAGGCGTGGGGCGTCTATCATCACTGCTGATTAAAGCAGGCAGATCAGGGACATAGTGATTATTATATCTGGTTTCCTCAGACGCCATCTGTGCAGGGGTGATCCGAACAAAGATTCCTTGAAGGATCTGGAAGACCACACCTATGTTTAGGTCAGCACTGGTTTCCTACTGATATTCACGCAAAACATACCGACCAACGTCAACCCAAAGGCGATGTATAATGGTAGACTTCCTACTTTGGAATACATGGTCCATATGCGTGGACTGATCCAGCCTTGGTCTGCGAGCGCCATCGTCTGGCGAAGGTTCAATTTCGTTCTTGCGCCGCCCGTCTGGATGAAAGAAGCCAAAGCCATTGAACAAATTGCCGATGTAATGGGAATAGTGAGTAGTGCGACGACTACCTGTATGATCTGCGCTGCCCTGATGGTGTTCTCATGTTTAGTCAAGACAGCATCCAGCTCTTTTCTGTAGCCACTTTGGTTTATGTAATCTTGCTTGCTTCCAATCGGCCGCTTGCTCGCAATGCAAAAAACGGCCCATGTGAAAGCGGAGAGCGCGGCGTAGAATATGAAGACTACCAGCGGCCACAGCGATGTGTGTAGATGTCTGACCACTGGTTCGCGAACAGTCCTGGAGGACGCTCTTGACAAAAACGTCGGCTCATGAGTGGCTTCTGGGACCTTTGGAGCGACCGTGTTCACGTGGGCTGTCTCTTGCCTCACTCTTTGCATTTCGTGCAGTTCTCTTTCTTCCATGTTTGCTGAGGTAGGTTCGATAATGAAGAATCCGACGATTCTTACATTCTGGGCTGTACAGGTAATGCGACAGGTTTATTAGACTATAGAAATGCCTGTGGCACAGCAACGTTTGTCGTGAGTGCCAAGCCTTGGCTCCCGTATCGATACAAATTTGGTATTGATGCTGGGGGCCGTACCGGGTAGCGGCACGGGAGGACCTGATCTTCAGTCGTCGCACCGGGGTTTGGGAGGCATACTTTAAACACCAAACTTGGTGTCAGTACACAGAAAATATCGACGACATGTGAAAAGGAATTTTCTTAGACTTGTCTGCATCAGATTGTGGCGTTAGTTAGCACGTTGTAGTTAGGCGTACCTGGGTACAATCTCCAGGTCAGCCGCTTGCGAGTCTCGGGGCGTATTTGCTGTTTCTGCATGTTCAGCCTTACAGAGCAAATTACGAGGCATCCCATCGGTCGTCAGGCCAGGCGAGGTTAGAGTGTGGTGTTTTCGGCACGCGATTCATTTCTTCGCAACCACAATAACGCCACGCATGACTCCGGTCCTTCCCCACCAGCTAAACATGGTCTTCGCAACACCGAAGCGTCCTATGCCGAGGCCTACCATTTTGAGTCTACTGTCTTGCTCTGTGAGAAATAGTGCTAGTGGCGCGAAGACATGCTCCGATATATCCGTGATAGTTATGGCCTCAGACTTGTATCCCACGTGCTCGAGCTTCGAGCGGTACTCCTGCGGTGTGCTAAAGTTTGCCCAAGGAGCGCCCATGAGTGCAGTGAGAAGACGAAGCATAGTCTTCTGGGTCCATGTTGCGGTTGGAGAAAGGCACAGATCGAAGCCCACGTAGTTGGCTTCGAGTTCCGAGTAAGCGTGTTCGATGATAGGCCAACGTGATGGCGAGAAATGGTACGCTGTGTCCAATGCTAACACCCACCGCTCATCTGAACTCGCTCTTGCTAGTCGTATTGAGTTTTTTAATCCTTCATTCCATGATGTGGGTTTTGACGCATCGGCGCAGAAGAGCGATATCGTGGAGCCTTTGTTATGCTTGAATTCTTCAACTCGCTCCGACGCAAATCGCGCCTGCGATTCGTCTTTTGTGATCCCAATATAATGGTCAAATGTAGCACATCGCTCTCGTTCGTCCCACCAATCTTTATCGCACGCTCGTATAGGTTCTTTGCTCATGAGATAGATGGTCTGATCTCCGCATCCGAAGCCTAGGTCGAGCAGGAATCTTCTTCGTTGCGCTTGTCCTTCGTCGTTGGACAATCCTGCCTCGGCAAGTACAACTTTCAAAAGATCGCGACATGCTTCGCTCAATGTCTTGGAAGCAGGAGGGCTTTTCCAATAGCCCATATTCATCCACATGGCGGTTGGAACTTGCAGATGCAGCCGCCCATGTTGCAAACCATAGATCGAAGCTTTTTCTTTTTCTTTCCTCTGTGTACGTTTCATTATCCAGTAGAATGCAGCGGCCAGCCATACTCCAAATATCTGCATGGATCTTTGGCCGTCCATACCCAGTTTGCCAGACGAAGTGCTTTCGTGCGAACCCAAGCTGCGGATGTAGGCTTGTATGACGCCGGATAGCGCGAAACCGGTGAAGATAGTGTAGCCAAAGAATAGTCTATCCCACATTGCTGTTTGGCGTGTTGAGGTGATTGGGTGGATAAAGACTTGACAAGCGGGTGAGATCTCGGGAAGCTTCAACGAGCAGTGACGCTAACCGGTTCAAGCGAACATGTATGACGAGGTGCACATACAGCTGACAATGTGTCAGCAAGTTAAGAAGCCTGCACATTGCGCACTTTAATGTCGGAAAGCTTTGAACTCATTTTCAAGTCTATGAATTTGTTCTGTAATGGAAATGGACATGTCAACACGCCTGGGTATCTACTCTATCAGACCATCTACCGTACTACGGAAAAGCTTGTTGTATCCAGCAGGAGCACCGGGCTCAATCTGGGGGCTCTTTGACAGTAAGGTACAAGCTAGAAACTCAAGCCTTTTCATTGTTCACTGATGCCTCCACGGCACCTTGACATGGAGCGCATCGGCAACCCGCATGGCTGATATAACACAGCCCTCTAGGAGAACCATACCATCCCAACACCAGCCGCCCACCAGCCATACGTTATCCTCGCCGTTCCTCCAACGCGGCACTGATTTGTCATCCGCACTGAAATTCGAACCGTTGTCGAAGATGGCATTGACGATGCGCTGGCTTTCTGGGCTGCGGAGAACGCGCGTGAACTTGCTCTGTTGAGCTACGTGCTGCTGCTCGAGAGGTGTGAAAGGGCAGGTTGTCACCACGACACCACAGGGCTGGAGATGATGCGACTCGGTCATGGGTGTATCGGCGGTGGATGTGTTGAGATGAATAAGCTGGGCGCCTTTCCTGTCGTTCTTGTTGAGGTCGCTCCCGTGCAGCACTGCCCAGTCTGTATGGACGACGCTCTCCACAACGGCGGTTGGTATACGCTGCATATGATGTTGGAGGGGTCTGAAGATGCGACCCACGACGTCTGGAGCAACAGCCAAAATCACTTTGTCGAAGTACTCGGTTGTCGTCTCCGCGTCCGACACACCGCACCACGATATCCGAACCCCCTTTTCGAAAGGCTCCACTGCCGTGACGGTAGCATTGAGGGTAACGTCGATACCTTTGACTAGGCGTTCCTGTACCCCTCCCACGCCGTCTGATACGGTATAGTGCGGCGCGCCATGAGTCCTCCGCTTGTATCCGATGATGTCGCTGGCGGGAAAAGCGAGCAGCGAATCGTGAGGACAGGTAGACACGCTCGACAAGAGTGGGAGCAGGTAGTAGGTGGTGAAGTAGCGCGGGCAATATGTGCGGTCCAGGTACTGCTGCAGCGTCTCGGATTGTCTCGGCCCGATAAAGACGCAGCAAAAGGTAAACCACGTGTACGAGAAGGCTAGGTATAGGCATTGCATCAGGTACACGACAATGCCAACTCCACTGGACCGGGGCGCAAGCTGGTGGAGGTTGGATGCGTGTGTGAAGTACGACCTGTCGCGGCGACCAGGTGTGATGGCCTCGGATTTGGCATCGTGGCTCACTGCGAATTCGAAGAGGAACGGCTGCGAGTGGTAGGATATGCGCAGGTAGTCGTACAGGGCCTTGAGGTTGTTGTAGTAGCCGCCCGCAAAGGCGCGCATGGGCAGATCCACGCGGGTCGAAGCATCCTTGGCGGCGGGATCGGGGAGGGAGATGGAGGCGGCGTCGAGGGAGAGGGTTTTTCCCTAGAATTACTTTTGTCAGTGGAGGCCCCAGAGAGAGTGGGCATGGGCGTGGGCGTCAGGCGTCCCTACCGACTCGAAGACCCTGACGGCATATCTTTGGCGGACGTCGTGGAACAACAGGTTCGCGCTAACAAGCCCAGCAAGGCCCGACCCTATTATTGCGACTCTCTCGCGCGCGTGCTCCATGTTGGAACGATGGTAGGCGTCAGCTGTGGAGAGCTGTCGTGTTGTTGTCTAGCAAAATATGACGTGAAATCGACGTTTGGCCTCGGCTGCAGCGCTGCAGTCTCAGAACAGGCATCGTCCGTCTACCCATCGTTACGGACGTTAATCGACAACGGGCAACCCCATGGCCGCGGCGACTAAGCTCGAATAGAACAAAGTGCATTGAGGTACAAATGCATGCCGTGGGGTCGCGCATCCTGTCTTGATGTCATGGTCGAATTGGAACGTGATGATTGGCCACCCAAGCGTGACCACCGCGTCCCTTGCAGCGTTAGCCACGCGACAAGTGCACCTCAACGCTCTGTAACACAACGCTCTGTGTGACCGTCAAAGATATCCTAAGAGTCTGCCGAATGTGAAGATGTCAGGGACCGACAAACTCCCCGCCATGCGAGTCGCCGTCATCGGGGCTGGGTACGCCCGCCATTCCGACCCTGAATATCACATGCTAACGAAGCCAAAGTCCCGGTGGATTGACAACCCTGAAGACGTTGCTCGAGGCATCGACACCTGAGCGGCCGATAGAGGCTGTCTTATTCGAAGCGTAAGCATACTCTACCTGGTCTGAATCGGATCAACTATCACGTGGCCTGACATCCTCCCCAGCGAAGACAACATTGGAGGCACCTTCCACTACCGCGCCTACGAGAACGCTGAGCTGGTATCATCCAAGCAACTAACGACTTTTTCCGATCACCGCTTTCCACTTTCAGCACCCGATCACATCTCGCTTCCGCAATATGTTGCCTACTTGCAGGGCTATGTGGACAAGTTCGATCTACAACCACTTATGAAGATGGGCTGTAGAGTCAACAAAATCGAACCCATATCTAAATCAGTCGACCAGAAATGGAAGCACCGTGTCAGGTATGTTGACAAGAACAGTGACGGGAAGGAGCGCACTTTCGACTGCTCCCATGTCGCTGTCTGCACTGGACTACATGTCGAACCCAACATTCCCGCTATCCCTGGTATCGAGAATGTCAAAGGCGAAGCATTCCACTCTTCTCAATACAAGAAGCGGGCGCAGCTTGCGGGCAAAGACGTGCTCATCATGGGTTGCGGAGAGACTGCTATGGGTACGTTATATGCCAGGGATATAAAGATAAGTATAAGCTAACATACTCAGATGTCGCCTATGAAGCCATGAAGGGCGATGCAAACTCGGTCACCATGTGCTTTAGAACAGGCTTTCTATCTTTTCCCAAGGCTCTCTCGCGATTCAAAGTTTTCGGCAAGCAGTTCAAAGGAGGCCTGCCCATTGATGGCCTCATCACCAACCTCTTCGAGACAGCCTACGTGCATCGTGCAATAGCTGCGAGTCGTTTCCGTTGGTTCGTGTCGGACTTTGTCATCAAGCGCGTATTGTGGTTCTTGACTGGTACTCAAGCAGGCATGAAGTGAGCTCTTCTCCGACCATGGCGACCGAGCACATGCTAACCCGATGTAGTCAGCACGTTGGCGCACTGCCACATGATCGTCTAGGCAGAGCTTTCGTATTCCTAAACAAGAGTAGCAAAGCGATGCCATACTTGAACCGGCCATACCAAGAGAAACACCCTCTTGCTTTCCTTGGTAATGGCTACGTAGATCCGCCCGAAGATGCGCAGTCAAAGAAATGGGTCGACACTTGCACATTCCCCCAGCGAATAGACGAGACAGGCAGGGTGATATTCGAAGAGCGACCAGACCGAAAAGACTGGAGGCGCATGAAGAACACGGAGGTGCGGCCCAACTGCGTAGTCTACTGCACTGGCTACAAGCAGTCATTCTACTTCCTCGATGAATCGTACCCCACTGCATCCGACGCTACCATACGCAACATCGTCTCGCCTGTAGACACCAGTATATCCTTCATCGGCTTTGTACGGCCCGGTGTTGGCGCTATTCCTCCTATTGCCGAACAACAAGCCATGTGGTGGACAGCGCTCATCACTAACCAAATGGCCATGCCCACCGACCCTCCACACTACCATCTCCTGTCTAAAGAAAGCTCGCGCATTAAATATGGTGTCGATCATAGCGCGTACATGAGTACCCTTGCAAAAGACTTTGGTGGTGCCCCTGGGTTGCGCGAGTTGTACATGGCCCATGGCCTGAAGGTGCTCCTGGTTTACTGCTTTGGAGCGAGCTTTGTGACCTTCTACAGGCTTGTTGGCCCCTTCAAGAGCGACGTTGCTCCTGAAATCACAAAGACTGAGTTGGCAGAGACAATCCTCCGCAGGGGTATTCTAGGAAACCTGTTCTTCGGTGTAAGTTCTGAACCAGAATTACAGTCAGATATCATATGTACTGACATTATCACAGGTGATACCAATGATCTTCTACGGTTTGATCAACTCTACAGCTCTGATGCTCGAGATGGTTGGTCTGATACCAAAGGAGAAGCCGGTTGTATGAGCATGAATCGGTTGGTGGTTGCTGCGGCCTATCACGCTTGTACGGCCCTGCCATGGTGGATGAATAGATAGGAATCGATGCAAAAGTATTCGCTAGTGATCTGCATTCTATATTACGGTACTGACCGAGGGTATCTCTCATACTGCGTTCAAACTACAAACATTTACATAAAACTAAAGAGGTGACTAAGAAGAGTTGCTGTTGTCAGCACAAGAGAAAGCCGAATCGATCAACCCATCTCGGTACGCGTCCTTGATCTGCACAATAACGCCGTAAGTGCCGCCGATTGTCAAGAAGATTGAGATGCCAATCAAGATGACGTGGAGCACATACATAATCTTCTGCCACCAGTTGCCTTTCCAGTAATCCTGGTGATCGTAGATCCAGAGCCATCCAGGCAGTCCCAGCGCCAAAGGAGCAAATGCAATGCTTCCCGCTAGACTGAGCAAGTAGTTGAAAATAGGCACACCAGATGCGATCACGAAACTGATAACCGTCATGAAGCTAACGCAGCCAAGCCAAGTACCCCAGTGTACTGGCGAGTTGGCCTGTAGATGTTTCGAGTTCCTCAGGATACGGACGAAGACGTATTTCGCGCTGACGTGTACATATAGCGCTCCACTGACACAAAGTCCGATCAGTCCGACTCCATAAGCGACCTTCTTGACCATGGGTCCGGCGCTACCAAGGGAGGGTGAGGCAACCCATTTGCCGCACCACTTGTACACGACGAGACTGAAGGAGAGGTACGCGGCTGTGACGAGGCCCATGCACCAGTTTACGGCTTTGGCGTACTCGCGCGGGTTGCGCATCTCGGACATGACGGGCAGGAACGCTGATGTACCTGCACCGGAGCAGAAGATAGTCGAGGCAGCTGTAATGCCAGCGGCGAAGGTTGGGTGGCCGATGACGTGGTAGCCGAAGTCGTAGGGTCCAGATTGAGGAGCTGCGGCCGGTCGGTCGAGTGTTGTTACTCCGACGCTGCATACATATCAGTCCGCGTGGTCATCTACTATAAATGAAGAGATTGCTTACACAACGATGAAAACAGCGATGAAAACGGATGAGAAACCCGCCCAAGTGATCCAAGACAGCTTCTCGAACTTCCGCACACTCGCACAGAGACCAATCATGATCGCTGCGATAATGGAGAAGTAGTTTGTGCAGAGCGAGTGTTCGCTCAATGCGTTCAAGGCTGTTGACACACCGACCATACCGGAGGCGCCGACAATGATGAACGCAACGAGGAAGAGGATACCGCTGATCTCCTTGACGACGCGGCCACCAACCAATTGACCCATGTCGGCAATCGAGTGACAGCCTGGGTGGTTGTTACGGAATTGGCCCTGTACCAGTGCGCACCAGGTGTTTAGCCCTTGCCATCCGAGCACGTTGATGGCACCGGGGAACGCGCCAAGGGTGTACATAGCGCTAGGGATGGTGAGAACACCGGTTGCAAAGATGACTGTAACACAATGATAGTCAGTATGGAGCAGTTTTGGTGTAGTTGATTGGATCATGTTACTTACGTTTCAGGAAGATGACTGACGTATGGATCCAGTGCACCGTTCGGAAATCCTCATACCCCTCTCCTCTCTTGAAGATCTCGCCATCGCTCTCGACGTCGACCTTGCCGTTGATGCTTTCGGAGCTATTGCTCGGTGCTGGCGCGATGATGTCGTCTTGCTTCTCAGTCGACATGTTGGCGGTGGCAGACAATGATGCCGGACTCTGTTATTAGGCTCGAGCGATGAACTCTGATCTGTCGGTACTTTGGCCACGGTATATATATCCAAGCGTACATGTATGCCATGCAACGGCCTTGTCCTTGCACGGTGCACTGATAGTCGATAACCCGCGTGGTATCAGCACGCGGTATCTTGGAATCCGGGGCATTGTGGGCTGGCAGGATCCACAGCCCCGTTGTTTTGGAGGTTGATAGTGGCGATAGAGCGGTGCAGGCGACTCCAACACCTACGCGACTCAGGCGCAGGGGTGTCTCCAATGATACCCCAGCCTCTTGGTACCTGCCACCGGGGATCATCGCAACTCCAACTGGTTGCGGAGATTGTGAACTGAGCAGCTTGGAGGTCTTGTATTCGTCTTGGCTGGTAGTTGGAGGCACGATTAGTATGTTCGTTGGGTTCGGTATCCTTAGTGTTCACCCTGCAGGTGACTAGTCTTCCATCTGCATCAGCGATTGCGGTTCCCGGGAGATTTTAGCTTTCTAGAACGTAGTTCGTGCGGAGCTAGGCTGTGCATTGCCGTTATCTACCTATCTTACAGAAATGGCCGATAAGTGGCATCGCTCTCTTTTGACGACTGCTAATTAATCTTTGACATACGGTTGCGGTGCAGTAAAATACTATCTTTATGCAACAGTTATTGAGGGGGGAACATCAGATAAATAGTAATGACATGGATTCGAATATCTAGCTACTCTTTCAGTTTAAGCCCTGCTTCGGCAGGCATGAGTGCTCCCTCGGGTGGTGGATTCTTCTTTTTGAACTCATCCGCCATCTGTTCCATAGTCACGAATTCAACACCTTCATGCTTCTTGAAGTGCTCAATCAACCTTTCGTGCATCAAGAGTAGATGTGGTCGTCCTGATACGTCAGGGTGGATTGTGATAGGCTAGAGGGTCGCATTAGATCAGCCAATATACCATAGGTATACCTTAGTTGAGACTTACGAAGATGAACTCATCGTACTCGCGGTAGAAGTAGTCGAAGTGATCTCTCCACAAGTCTTCAGTGTCTCGCGCATTGACAAAGCCATGGCTGTTTGGCGAGGATTTGATAAACATGTGAGGTGGCAGATCCTAGTGTCGTCTATTAGCGTGTGGTTTACATTGTACTGCCGATCATACATACATCAAGATACCAGTTTGCTGGAATCTCAACCAAGCCAGTCTGTTGACCTGCAACGAGCGGCTTCATCCAATCTTTGGCTTTCTTCTCGTAGTCGATCTTGGTCCAAGAATCTCCAGTTCTGAGATAGTAAGGTTGGCAGTCGTGGTGGCTCATGCTGTGGTCATATTCGATACCATAAGAAAGAAGCAGTTCTGCACCTTCGCGACTAGTCTCCCACCTAAGAAGAAGGTTAGCATGGCGGATGGAAGCAATCAATCCATCGACCTACCAGGGCGCAACACTTCCCCTTGGAGGTTTGCCAGCGAACTCGGTCAACATGCGGTATGTCTTGTCAAGCACGTCCCGTTGTTGTTCCATGCTCATATCGACGGGATTTTCGTGACTGTAACCGTGAAGACCAATCTCGTGTCCAGCGTCGCGTACTGCAGCCATGTCTTCTGGAAAAGTCTCCAGACTATGGCCTGGAATAAACCATGTGGTCTTCATGTCATACTTCTTGAAGAGCTTCAAGAGGCGCTGCGTACCGACTGTGCCAGCAAACAGACCGCGCGAAATGTCGCTGGTACTGTCTTCTCCGCCGTACGATCCAAGCCACCCACATACCGCATCTACGTCAACACCATACGAAATGAGAACGCGCTTCTTGCTCATGATGGCTGTGTTATGAGGGAAGATGGTGGTGGTCTGTCAAGTAAGTTGCTGAATCGGTTCCCGAGGTCAATGGCAGAAGCTGTCAGCCGGATCTGTGTGGGAGAAACAAGACCACATGGTTGATCCGGCATCACTTCCTCTTAATGCCATGATGCCGACCCTGAAAACCATCGCGGGGTAATTAGCAGATAGAATGGTGCTGGAGCCGGCGGCGGCTTGTTCATTTCGTCATTGGACGTGGCAGCTGGCCCCCTGCCTCCATAACGGCGCGCTCGCTTATCAGTCCCGTCTTATCGTCGACCCCAACGACTCCAACTCTCCTCTCCAACTCATCCGAATTCGGTCCTACACGTGGGGACAAGCAATCGCATGAAGCTATGATGACGACGACCACGGTATTGAACGCAGTGATGCAGCACAGTCGTTCGAGTACGTTCATGGTTCATTCTGAATATGCCGGATAAGATGCGCGCAGCACAGATCGTAGAGGTAGGATGACGTCACACGAACTCTCGGAAGCCCATCTAACATAGGCATTTAGTATGAGAAACCATATCAGCTATGTGAGCGAGCTATACCTCAGTGCGGCGACCATGACCTCCTCATTGAGGTGTACGCAGCTGGCTTTTGTCACTCTGACCTGCAAGTATGGAATGGGCAATTCCCGGCAGAACTGCCAATGATTCCTTCGCATGAGCCTGCTGGCAAAATCGTACAGGTTGGCGCGAACGTGCAAGGTTCCTGGACGGTCGGGGATCGCGTGGGTGTTTTGAACTACAAGAATGCGTGTGGGCAATGCGCAGGATGTCGCCAGCACTCACGGAGATCCAAACGTCCTGATCCGCGCTTCTGTCAAAGACGAATTGTGGCTGGCTTCAGACACGATGGCGCATTCTCTGAATACATGCTGGCCGACCCAGAAACCACCGTGCATCTCCCGAGCGGAGTTTCTTTCGAACAGGGAGCACCTTTGATGTGTGCTGGAGTAAGTTGGTCTGGTGTCTAGATCGCAAGCAATGCCATTGCTAACATCATCAAAAGGCGACAGTATGGGGCGCGTTGCGAAAGCTTAGTCCCCAGGTCCAGCCGGGCGATGCTGTAGCTATCGTAGGCATCGGAGGTCTTGGACAGCTTGGAGTACAGTTTTCCAAAGCACTTGGATACAGGACGATAGCAATGGATAACCGTGACGAAGGTCGCCAGCTTGCGCTCGACTTGCCTGACCACTTGAGACCCGATCTGGTTATGGATTCAACCGCCAAAGATGCCGAACAGAAAATATCAGAGTTTACTTCCGGCGAGGGTCTCGCAGGCATCGTAGTGTGTACCGATTCGATACAAGCGAACGCCTGGTGCCTCCAACAACTGGGCAATGGTGGTGTTATGGTCCCGCTGGGACTACCAAAAGACAAGTGGCAGTTCGACTCGGAAGCCATGGTGTTTCATGAGCTTACTATCAAGGGCAGCTATGTTGCTAGTGCTGAAGAAGTCGAGTCGATGCTGAAAGTGGTGGCCAAGCACGGAATTTCTTCGCATTTGACCGTTCTAGGCTTCTCGGAAATCCCCAGCCTCGTTGACAGGTATCTGCATGCATCGATGAAAGGCCGACTGGTCGTCAATATCAAAGAGTAAGATTCCATTCGGGCGGAAATTATGGGCGCCAAGTTTTTCCGCGGAATAGCTGATCTCGCCACGAGTTGGGGTCATTTGGAGAGCTTGTTGCGTTAGCATGATTTGTGGAACCACCGACCCACCTACCCGCGATTGGCTACATAGTACGTAAAAGTATCTCTTCTACATCAATATGTATACTGTTTCATAGCAAGATATAGCCTCAACATCTGCTTGTATTTTCTCAGTTGTCGCACAACTTCGTGTCAAGTACCAGGCTTTCGCCATCATGTCTGTCTTTTTCGACTCTCCTATAAGGTCAGTGGCAACAATGGTCCTGTTTCCATGAGAACGTATGCTGATGCCAGTGAAGTGAGGATCTTGTGGCGGTGGGCGACGCAGAAGCCGTTCTGGAAAGCATCGGTGTTACCGACGGCATACCAGCAAATGAATCCCAGGACTACCATCAGCTGTTAGCTGCTGTTCATGATGTTGCGGAACACATACTACAATTACCGGACTATACGGCACGGACAGATACTGAGAAGTACCCACGAGAGCAAGTACATCGACCATCCGCAGATGAGCAGGATTTTGGTAATGCTTGGGCCCACAAGTTTCTCATAAGTGGCAATCCACAAGGAAGCTTATTGAGAGGAAAGACGCTATGTCTCAAAGATAATGTCGCAGTGGCTGGAGTGCCACAGTTCTTTGGAACTGATGCCATCCCTGCGTGGACACCTGATGACGACGCCACCGTAGTTAGACGAGCACTAGATGCCGGTGCTGACATCGTGGGAACGACTATATGCGAGAACTTCTGCAACTCTACCTCATCTTTTACTTCGGCACAAGGTACCGTCCACAACCCATATGCAAGAGGTTACTCTGCTGGTGGTAGTACATCTGGCGGTTCCGCAGTAGTCGGCGGCGGTCTTGTAGACATCGCAATTGGTGCCGATCAAGGCGGAAGTATCCGCGTCCCGTCATCTTTTTGTGGCTGTAAGTGTACTATAGATACTGTGCACAACAGTGCCAGGTTATCAAAAACTGACTTGGGGAAACATAGGTGTCGGACTGAAGCCAACGCATGGTCTAGTCCCTTACACTGGGATATCTAGCGGCGACGCTATCAATGATCATGCCGGGCCCATAGCAAGATCAGTAAGCGACGTAGCATTATGCCTTGACGCAATCAGTGGAAAAGACGACTACGATGATCGTACACTTGGTGCACCGACACACGGTTCTACGCAGTACGCAAAGAGTCTTCAGAATTCGGTCGCAGGATTGAAGATTGGCATTCTCAAAGAAGGGTTTGAGCATCGACTCGTGAACCAAGATGTCAGGTCGACCGTGAGGAAGGCCGTTCAGTCTTTCGAGCGTCTCGGTGCTACCATTGAAGAGATTTCGCTACCTCTCCATCTAGAAGGACCAGCTATTTGGACCATCCAACAACGGATCGCAGGTACTCTCAACATGTTGGGCTATGCTCACGGTCGAAGAGGTCTCTTCTCAACAGCCTACGAGGCCGCAAGACAGCCATGGACGAACGAAACTTTCCAGAAACTCTTCCCATCCACGAAAAATACCATGATCAACGGCCTCTCTCTTATGCAAAACTACCCAGGTCTTTATGCGAAGACTATGAACCTCGCCCAACAACTCCGAGACTCTTATGAGAAGCTTTTCCAAGACTACGATCTTATTGTCATGCCAACGACACCTTTTGTAGCTCCGCCAAACATAGATTGGAAGCGAGGGGAGGACGCACCAATGGATGCACTGAAGCCAAGTATGGGCATCACCATCAATACCGCTATCTTTGATGTGACAGGTCACCCGGCCATGTCACTTCCCGTTGGGTTTGCCCCTTCGGGTGTCGATCCTGAAGTTAAATTACCGGTTGGGATGCAGCTAGTTGGTGGCTTGTGGCAGGAGCAGAAGATATTCAACGCGGCTTTCGCGTGGGAGTCAGCAAACGACTGGAAAAAGATTGGCATTCCGAAAGACCAAGAGTCAAGGCTTGCCACGAAGCTATGAAGATACTTTTATTATACTTTCGATATTCAGATGCAATATATCCCATTATCATCGTAAGTTGTATTGATCAGTTGATTGTGTAGCCGCCATCCACAACGAGCGCATGCCCTTGAATGAAGGATGACTGTTCTGAACACAAGAATAGTACTGCGTCAGCGACCTCGTCCGGGGTACCCATCCTCTTCATAGGTGCTATCTCAATGGCAGGCTTCAACGCCTCCACCATAGCTGGCGATGTGGTAGTCATTGGCGTTTCAATAACGCCAGGGCAAACGCAGTTCACACGAATAGCATCGTCGCTATAATCAATGGCATTCGCACGTGTCATATTGATTATAGCAGCCTTTGAGGCGCAGTATGCAGCTGTAGAGTTCTCGTTAATCCAGGGTTCAACATGTCACAAGATGAATGACTTACCAGCACCCGGCCTTGCCACGATGCCGAGCTGACTCGCAATATTGACAATTGAACCCCTTTGCTTGGGATGCTGATCCAAAGGTTTCTGTTTCAGCATGTTTCTCAACTGTGCACGACAACTGAGCCAAGACCCCTTGTAGTTGATAGCGTTTAGTCGGTCGAAGTGCTCAGTGGTCATGTCCACTGCTTTGATGACATCGCCCCCAAGTACACCCGCGCAGTTGACACCATAATCTAATCTTTTGAATTTGGTAAACACCTCGTCGTTGAAGTCGTCAACGAAACTTTCGTCAGCGACATCTCCAGCTCTGTGGAAGACTTGAGCAGATGGGTTGATGCTTAGGATGGCGTCTTTGGTCTGGTCAAGGGTTTTCGGGTTCAAGTCGGTAATTGCGATCCGCGAACAGCCTGATCGGGCGAAACCTTTGGCGACGGCCGCCCCAATGCCTGTTTACCATAAGTATGCAGGAAGAACGGCGTATCAATGCGTAACTGCTTACCAGTCCCCCCAGCGCCTGTGATGACTGCTACACCTGGGAGTAATCTTGCAAGCGATGCCATTCTGCTAAGATGCGTCGACCTGAGCCAAAGGGGCTGACTCTTCTTCGTTGCGGTCAGAAACGAGCGTCGTCGCAATCAATCAATCAAGATAGGCGCTGGTTGTTTGACTTGCTGCAGCGATGTCCATACTCCGCAAAGATTTACCACCGACATAAAGCCCTGCCGGGGATGTATTGGCAGGTCTTCCCGTTGAGTTCCGCTATCTTGGAGTAAACGGAACGGCTACTCCGAAGATGGCGCGCTAGGCACGGCGCTATCTACCCCTCAGACACAATTGGCCGAGGGCAAAACCTAGAAGTGAAGACAATGACCCACCTCACTCCAATTCCATCTCCAACAATTCTCACCACATGCACGGCCTCGCTCATGTTTGTAGTCACTGCTCAAGGAGCTTCAAGCGAGCAGAGCATTTGATCCGTCATACCCGTACACGTTCGTGCCTCCAAATAAGCGACTCCACGATGACGGCGTCGTAATAACTGATGTCACCATAGATACTAGAGAAAAGCCATACTCGTGTCGGTGCGGAGCAGCTTTTACACGGCGTGACCTGCTTACTAGGCATTGGCGTATCACCCATCATGCCGGCAACCCTGATGCAGAGTCGACAACGTCGACTGAAACTGCCACGACGATAGACGCATCTAGCTTGAACGTGCCCGGCGCAGGGGCCGCCGAAGCGCATCTCGTCCCACAGGCCCATTCACAGCAACTCGAACTGCACACTCATCCTCCTCCGGCTTTCCAAGAGCTCCAGCAGGCGCCACCATATCACGATGAAGGATTCGAGGACTTTCGTGACTTCGTAAACTTCATCGACGGTGTTGGTCTATCAGCCCAATGGACGCCGGAGTACGACTTTGACTGGATGCGACTCGGCGAGCATCATCAAGAATCCCGGCGCCATTCCCGGGAGCCAGAGACCAGATCCTCTCCTGGTCCTGAAGACATTGGAACACCTTTCAGCACCTGGCTACCATCGGCGCCAGCCGACGATCAAGTGAATTTGAGATCAAACGGAGAAGATGGTGAAAAGAGAACAAGGAGTGGAACATACAACGTCACGGATGAACATCGCAATTTCTTGGTTTCGCTGCTTGAGAGCTTTCCTTCACCCATCAGCGATTTCCAGATACCCTCTCGACATACACTTACTAGGTATATCACCGCGTTCTTTGGCGGTTTCCACTCGCACTTCCCTTTTATCCATTCGCCAACATACAAACCGTCATGTTCGCCTTTGGAATTGACCCTGGCTATGTGTGCTGCTGGAGCACAATATTGCTTCGAGCGACGAAGCTCAGAACGTCTCTTTCGTGTATCAAAAGCCATCGTGTTTCAACGCCTTCGGCAGGAAGAGTCACACTTCGGTCCACAGACTCTTGCTTTTATCGCTTCTACCAATATAGTTTCACCGGAAGCGCATTTCACCACTAGACGTACAGGACCATGGTCGCCTCTGGATCTGGCGAAGACCTTATTGATCCTGGTGGGATTTGCGACGTGGGAAAGGAAAGACCTACTACAGCAAGCATTCGCACTCAGAGGCCTTTTGGTACAAACGCTTCGAGATATCGGCCTTAGAGAAGAGGAACCGAGCAGAAACGTTTCAACCTCCAGAGCAGCGATGTGGGACCAATGGGTACAGCACGAGTCGTCCAGACGTACCAAGCTCGTAGCATTCTGTTATATCAATGTGCATAGCATCGCATACAACATTCACCCCCTGCTCTGGAGCAGCGAACTTCATCTGCGATTGCCTTGCTGCACCCCTGTGTGGCAAGCCAGTAGCGCTGCACAATGGTCCGCGCTACAGCGGGATGGGCGAGAAGACCATATGCCCTTCCAACAAGCATTGTCGATACTTCTGCAAGGCACAGCAAACCAAGGTCAGCTACCCAAGCAATGGCTTCTCATTTATAATTAAAGGTCGACTGACATATTTCAGAACTCGTACATCCGATACCGAGTCCAATCGGAAACTACATTCTTCTTCATGCCTTGCTTCAGCGGATTCACGTAGTACGAGAACTTTCTTTTCCCGCTACCTCGCCTGCCACAATATCAGCTACAGAGCTGCATGTGATCAGTCGTGCTCTCCGCGCGTGGACATCGCTTTGGCAGCAAACTCCGGAATCTATGCTTGATCCTAACAACGAGAGTGGGCCCATCCCATTCACCTCAAGCGCACTATTGGTGGTGGCTTACGTGCGCCTATCACTAGATATTGGACCTTATCGTCACCTAGAGTCACGCAGTGCTGAAGTCATAGCTGACGGTCTAGCCAACGTTCCAGATATTGAGCGCAATGACAACCTACTGTCGGCTCTATTATACTCGACACATGCGCTTAGTATACCTGTCAGATTGGGAATTGACAGAGTTGCGCGAAGCCAAGCGTTCTTTTGGAGCGTTCAGCATGCCATATCCAGCTTCGAGTGTGCTATATTTCTTGGTAAATGGTTATGCTCCATCCCGAGGCCATTCCGAGAGGATTTGCTGTCGCGGTCAGAGCATCGCATTCTTCACTGGGTCCGGTGCATCATCAAAGAAGCGTATGCGGTGATCGACTTCGACGAGGTTGAAGAGAGCGACAGCATCCTAACTGTACCCAGTGAGCCCTACACGCTTGGTCTTGCTGTGCTAAATATCTGGTCACGATTCTTTCGCGGTAATACACAATGGCAGTTTGTTGTTAACTTAGGATTAAGCTTAGAGAAATATATTGCAAAGCTTGTTTAGCTTACGGATCCAATCCTTTGTCCTATGATTCACGAGTTTCACGGCTTAGTTATCACGTAGTCAATAAACATTTGATCCTTCGTGGGTATAAGAAGATATATCGAATCATCAAATGTGAACTGAGCTTTACCATAAAGTATGCTTCTAGGGAGACTACACAACACATCCCCTTTCTTTGCCTCACTTCCTACAGTCTTCAGTTCTCTAGACCTTGTTGTTGTGGATCTTCTCATCCTCAGCCTTGACAGTATCCATGACCTCTTCGTTTCCATCAGCGAAGGCTTTGTCTCCAAATGCCATCGCAATCTCCTCCAGCGAATGGTTCGCCGTCTCTACATAGTAGAAGTGAGCAAGGCCTGCTGAGAAGAGGCAGAAGCCCGCGATAACGAGGTAGAAGTATCCACCAATACCCGCAAAAGCATCAGGTGAAACCATGCCAATGATGAAGTTGAAGATCCAGTTGGACGTAGTAGCAAGCGCCATACCCTTGCTGCGGCCTCGGAGCGGGAAAATCTCAGCAGGCAGCAACCACGGCATTGGACCCCAGGTAAATCCGTAGACGATGTTGTAAAGCATGATAAAAGCGTACTGGCCATTAGCTCGGGTCATGATGGGCATCGAGGCTTCCGTGAAAGCACAGACGACGCCGAGTAATGCGGCCATCAAAACACCACCGAGGATGAGGAGTGGCTTGCGTCCCCATCTATCAGCTAGCCACCATGTAACGACGGTAGCTGCTGTGTAAGGGATGGCATTTGCAGCGGTATAGAGAAGAGACCTCTCATCGGAGAAGCCGGCACTGGCGAGCGTTGAAGGTAGGTAGAACGAAATGATGTTTATACCGTTTAGCTACAGATGTGGAGATGCAAAGTCAGTGTATGTCTCACATGCATTTTGTACAGTCATAACTCACCTGAGCAAACATCTGGACGGTGACACCGACAATGGTGCGCTTACGGTATCGAGTGAACATTTCCTGTGGCAAGAGTACGTTAGCGTCTATCAGAATGAGATGAGCTCAATGTGGAAGAGGTGACTCACTATCCAACCGGCTTTGCCGAGTTCAGCTTCGTAAACGACGGCCTCCTGGATTTCGAAGAAGGTCTTTTGAACATGCGGAGCGTCGGTGTCGCCGCTCGAGTGAAGATCTGCGACTGTCTGAAGGCTTTCTTGCATGAATCCGTTGTTGGCTAACCATCTTGGAGTTTCCGGGAGGAAGAACGACATGACTACCAGGATGAAGGACAGGATGATCTGGATAATGAATGGGCCTTGCCAACTCATGTTGTCCGGAAGCATGAAGTGAAAGCCGTAGTCAACCCAGCAAGACAACATGTAACCAGCGATTAGGCATGTGTATTCGATGCCAACCATGAGGCCTCGAGCGTGGGGTGCCGCAATTTCGGTTTGGATGATGGGGACTGTCATGGAGAGGAAGCCTACTCCGAAGCCTTGGATCGTTCGCCCGACGACGAAAGTTGCGAAGCCTGGAGCAAAGATTTGGATAAAGGCGGAGAAGAAATATATCAGACCACCGAGACGAACAGTCCTCTTGCGACCGATCATGTCACCAAGACGTCCAGCAATAAGAGCGCCCACAGCGGCGGAAGCTTGCAGGCAAGCGACGGATATTCCCGTGATAGAAGGGTTGACTGCTGCCGTGCTACCATCTGCACCACCATAATCACTGAAGAAGCGTCTGACGAATACCGGGTTGACCAACAGGCCAGACATGATGCCTAGCAGTGTCAGTATTTTTCCTCAACATACATACATATTCATACGTACCAGAGTTGTAACCGAACAAAGCATCACCAAGACTACCAAAGCCACATGTTGCGAACAACAAGGCCTTTCCTTTGATCGGGTATCTGGCTGTAATCTTCTTCGGCTTCAGCTTGCTTTCGAGCCAGCCTTGTTCAGCCGCAACTTGACCAGCAATCTGGGAGGCGCGCTGCTGGATATTGGCACTCCGGCTGGCGACCGAGTTGCTACGGGTAGCCATGTTGAAGAGAGTGAAGAGGAGGACAGGCGTAGAGAAATAGTGTCTGTTCTCGAAGACGCGGAGAAGATGCGGTTGAGTGATGGAGAAATCTGGGGAAGCATGACAACTTTATCATCCCCAGATTCTCGCCGTCAAAAGCGCTTGACATGATCGCGTGTAGTCAAGTCCTGTCACGGTTCCGGTCCCAAGGTTGGCCCTGCAGCGAAGAAATTTGGTCGGCGTGCACTAATGTGTCACTCGGATAGTTGATCTGCGCTCAATCGCTATGGTCCTGGTGCGCCAACCAATCAGAAGCGTTCTGGCTAAGAGCCGCGGAACCGATGCTGGGTAGCAAAGTGGCCCGACTGGTCTGCGCATCCGAAAGTCAGCAGCGTGCATGACCCGCCGGAACCGAAACGCACTCGCACTCGTTGTCGGACACCAACGCTTGACCGGGATATAATCTGGGGGACATAATGGGGAAAATACGCCGCAAACACTCCCGTAAATTATGTCTCAAATCATGATTTCCTCAGCCGACGTCTACGATCCCAACATCGCTCTCACACAGAATATGTCCTTGGCATCGTCTCCAGAGAATCCAACCACAGCACCGATCAACAAGACTTTCGTCCTGAGCTCTACGAAGCAGTTTTCATACGAAGATCGGCCAATCCCAGAGCTTCGAACACCAAGGCATGTTCGCGTGAGGGTTGTAGCTACTGGCCTTTGTGGTTCTGACGTATGCAATCTTTCCTGGTATATTGTACTGCATTGACTAACGTTGATGGCTACCCAGGTACACTACTGGCAGCATGGACGCATAGGACGATATGTTGTTGATTCTCCCATTACGCTTGGCCATGAGTCTGCAGGCATCGTCGAGGCCTGTGGAGAAGAGGTCAAAGGATTATCTGTAGGCGATCGAGTTGCACTAGAACCAGGTGTAGGATGCAACACATGCGAGACATGTCGCGGCGGCCGCTACAACCTCTGCGAATCGATGCAGTTCGCTGCTACCCCGCCCTACAATGGCACCTTATCGACTTTCTACTGTCTACCCGAAGAATGCTGCTATAAGCTGCCGTCGCACATATCGTTCCGTGAGGGTGCCTTGGTTGAGCCATTGAGTATAGCTGTACATTGCTGTGGACTCGCTGGAAACTTGCAGGGTAAATCTGTCGCAGTCTTTGGGGCTGGGCCTATAGGCTTGTTGTGCTGTACTGTGGCGCAAGCTTTTGGTGCCGCGAAGGTCATCGTAATAGATGCCGTAGCCACCAGACTGGCATTTGCGACAGACTTCGGCGCGGACGACACATATATGATGGAAGCTGCATCTGCAGAAACCAACGCTCAGAAGCTTTCAGAGAAAGCTAGGCTGGTCGCAGGTTTTGATGTTGTGGTGGACGCAACAGGAGCAGAGCCATGTATCAACTGCGGTGTAGCCGCATTGAAACGCGGTGGAATATTCGTTCAAGCCGGGCTCGGGTCTCCAAGCATCGCGTTCCCTATCGGTCAGATATGCGACAAAGAAGCTACGCTCAAAGGGAGCTTTCGATATGGACCGGGAGACTATAAGCTTGCCATTCAGCTGTTGGAGTCTAAGCGCGTTCGACTAGATAGTCTCATAACTCATGAGTTCGCCTTCTCGGACGCCGAAAGAGCTTTTACCAACGTTGCGAACAGAGTCGGCATTAAATCGCTTATATATGGGCCTGGTATCGATAGGACATTTGCGGAGAGCTGTACCGAGCAGATCAAACACATGTCTGATCTTCCAAAGCTCTAGTTTATGATGCGCCGAATACATATCGCGCTGATGTATATATCTCTTTTGAGAACAACAGACGCCTGGCGCAGACTGTTCGCGATGCGACCGCTACAGCGGAGGCTCATTCCAGACAGAATCCCAGAACCAATATAATCCGTTGCCAGTAACGTCAACATTATTGTCATCGCTGATCCAGTCTAGTTCTCCCTCGAGATGGAAGTCCTGTGTGCCGGCGTTTGACCAATCTACATTGTGTCCGCTAGGTAAGTGACCCGTATCACCGTTGTTGGCAGCCCATTGCTGGACGTCAGCCGTGTCATCACGATATATACCATCGAGACCCGTAGGAAAAACTAGGTAGAGCACAGCATCAGCACGCTTCGTAGTTCGTCGGAAATGCATAAAGAACAACTCACCTCTCTGCACTGATGCCATACTTTCGTGAACGCGTTGCATCCTGTCCACTGTATTGTGTTGCGGTCTATGGTGTCCATTTGATGGTAGCTGCGTCGGAAGACGAAGGGTGTCTTCAACAGACATCAATGCCGTCCCTGCATGTGATCTTGTGATGTCGCTCTCGCCAAATATAGTATCTGCTTCCCTACGCAACAGCATCTGGATGACATCTTTAAGAACTACATTGCTCTGCATCGAAAGCTGTGTCTTCTTCCCGAGTAGTTCTTGTAAGCGAAATATCCGCGTAATGGTCCTCTTGACTTCTTGTGCTCTGTCCGAGAGTGGATCGGACAATGCTAACACAGCCATGACAATAGCGGAATTGAATAGATTGATAGCCAAGAAAGCTACTAGGTGACTATCAGTGGCTAGTTGAGAAAGCCGCGGTAATTCGGTGACCTTCGACGTTCTCAACGCCGCGTGCCACCACTGCTCGGTGCTCGACATATGGCTTGTATTTAGCGGGCTAGACTCATGGGCTGTAAGGAATGGTGATCCGGTGTTCGTAAGGCTTGCTGGTGATAATGCGACACCATGGCCACTTTCCGGTTGCGTCCTGATGAGATGGTCCACTTGTTTCGCAATCAACGGGCGATTGAAGATAATCAGTAGGTTGTCAAACGTAAGCTGAAGAGATAAGGCCTGCAGTTGGTGTACACGCGTAGTGCGAGACTGGTCGATACTACAGTCGGAAGCCATATCAAGTAGAAGATGAGGCGGTAAATGCCGGCGCCACGCCCAAAGCTTTTCCGTCACTTCTAAGATCTGATCAGTGTACTGCGGCCCACTAGGTCGTTCATTGGGTCCCACAGCGCGCATTCCGAAAATGATCTCGATAATAGGTGACGCAATGAGATAAAGTTTGTTGAGCTCTCGTTGGTAGGACGAGTAGCATATTGTCAAATCCGCTTCTGGAGGACCTCCTGGCTTGAAGTATGGCGACTCGCATATGTCAATGGGATGGTTTGTATTACAGTCCTTCTCGTTGATACCAATAGGCCGACCGTAAGTGATGGAAGCGAATCTGTCCCATGTGTATATAGTCCACCAAACTCTTTTCCTCTCCTCGATAGAGTGAGAGTCACCTCGTAGCGGCTGGCGATGAAGGCCAATCGATTGCGCCGTTCGAATGGTTGCACCTAGTAACGCAAAAGATAAATTAGGTTTGCCATGATAGACATAGTAAGAGCCAAGCAGGATGCACGTCTGAACCGATGAAATCGTACTTTGGTCCATCAGTTCAGTGAGTTGAGAACCCGCGCCTTGGATGAGTGATTGCGACCAGGCGTACCAATCTTCGTCCGGAAAGTCCAGATCCATGTCTTTCTTGTGAGATTTGTACCATGCTCCCATGCCAACAACAGTGGATAGGAGAAGAAGGAACGACTTTTGTGAGGGATAGGCATGACCATCTCTGATAGATTCGAACTTCGCCCGAAATCTTGGCTCATAGATGACCAAGCTAAACCAATGGACCGAGTCAAAGTACTCTTCTAGGAGCGCGCGCATCATGTCGGTGGGTGGTAAAGGATGGCCAAGGATAGCGACTATGTTTTTCCTTTGGGTACGGTCTAATCGAGGTGCCGGGGCTCTGCCATATACGTCACCACCCGGTATGGCTGATGTTGTCCGCTTCAATGTTGGCTGGCTTCCCAGTCGGTAGATCTGGTGAGCAATATCCATGGCTGAGTTAGCTTCGCCCTCTGCCATACTGGCACGTCTACTCTCATCGCGACTGTTGATTTCTGTGTCTATCGTTTGATGCGCATCGTCATGGCTCTGCATCGGAGCTGGCGGTTGCTCGTGTGAAGCTTCACGGGAAGGACCCCGAGTGCGTTTTCTTTTCGGTGCGCGGGCTGGCACCTCGACATTGCTTACGACACATTCGACATTTGCTCGAACGCAGAGCGCGCAAGGACGAGATATGTCGCACTTCGATTTACTCAGTCCATGGCGCGCGTGACGGGCTGTGGGAGGGCGGAACTAACTCGGCTCTTGTTGCGACGACACCTCTCACACGCGTTGCTAACTCTGGTTGGCAGCTGGCGCCCAGCAGAAGCATCGAGAGTCGCCGAAGACATCGTTTGCGCGTCGCCATGCGTAAAGTCACGATGCAAAGTGCAAAGGCACGCGCGATACACGCCAAATCAGCCGCAGGACTTCGCCGAGGTTCGCACGGTTATGCCGCTTGGACCTAAAATCTCAAGCCACTCCCAGCCACCGCCATCGTTTCCATTACGATCTCCTTGCACAATCTTGTCACGTAAGGTATACAACCCGTATGCTGGAAATAGGTTTGGATGCAATGAACAAAGTTTGCAGACAGCTTTGGCGTATAACCCGATTACCACCGCTTCCGCCCTCATGTAACAAGATCACTGCTTTCAACAACCATATCAGATCAGCACGAACAGTCACCAAATACACCACTCGACTTGATCTTTGACGTCACTAAGCGCGGTTGCACTCATGGAACATAATCAGGATAGGTATTCGCCATCCGATGTCTCCCTGGAGGAACACCGACCTTCGAAGCGACGACGAACATCGGGACAGCCTGCTCGCGAAGTTGGCCTGATGCGCAGCGTCCCAGATGATCAATTTCCAGGTTTTGTCGGCAGCGCCAGTGGAATCTTCTTCATCAGGTCGGTGTATAGTGCGATCCGGCCGTCCACAGTGCCTACCGGTACTACCGCAGAAACGCCTGGAAGCGATATCGTGCCGGGTGAAGATGATCATCTACCTCTAGTGCAGCCCAACTCTTCTGAGCGCCTATGGCGAGACGCTGAAATTGCGTTCAGCCAGACACTTCATATATCATTCCAAGACCTGGTCACATTTTCTGGGAGCTATTTTGCCAATTGGCATACGCTCTACCCCTTCCTACACGCGCCGACCATCTTAGAGTACTTCGACTGCTATGCAAAGAACGGCTTTCCTGAACGTGATATTTCGGAAGAGCTTGATCTGGTGATAGTTCGATCGATCATGTCCATCTCGCTTGCAGACCATCGACAATCCTCTGGGCATGGATGTATTCAATACCCTGCCTGTATCGTCTTTCCGTCATACGATGCCGCTGTCGATAGCCTTCGGGTGATTCTATCACGTCCCACAAGCATACTTACGCTGCAGGCCGCTCTCAGTGTGCAGCTCTTTCTAGTGTCCATGCTCCGCTTGAACGCAGCATCACGCATCGGAGGGCTCATCATGCGCATGGCCGTGCAGCTAGGCCTTCATCGCTGCCCAGCTAGGTTTTCAGCCTTCACTTCAAGTGCAAGAGAGCTTCGGCAACGTGTATTTTGGTCACTGTATGCCATCGATCGGTTCATTTCCCAGTCCATGGGCCTACCGCTCGGCCTGCACGATGACGATATCGACGTATGCTTCCCATTAGCAGAACACCACCCACAGACGCATATTGAGCCTTGTAAGTTTGGTCATGGTGTGGTGATGGTCTAGCTCATATTTCACAGGCATCAAACTTCGTCTGCTGCATCTTCAAGCGCAGCAAGCTAGGTTACGCGGCGAAATTATAGAATTGCGCAACAAGTCGTTACACTACGTTCAGAACGATCCCGACCGAGCGACCTCGATCATAGCCAAGCTAAGCCAGTGGTGGAATGATGTTGAGGACTACATCGATCCGGACAGCCAATCTGGAGCTTCTACCTACGCGATTACTGTCTTGACACTGCTTAGACACGAGTCGATCATCTCGTTGTATCGCCCAGTCTTGGCTACCTCTCGCAAAGACGTCGCATACGACGCTGCCTTACAACAGTGCATCAATTCTGCGCGTAGCATCATCACCACTTTACACAGCGCCATCCAGACCAAGTCTAGTATCGGAACGATTCATAATCCACTAGCTTTGTTGTGGCCCTCTTGCACATGGGCTGTATGGATCAGTACATTCATCATGTTTTACGCTGCTCACGAGAGCCGTATCGCCCATACTGTTGTCGTGAGGTAAATGGGTCACGTTCAAAATAGTCTATCCCTGCTGACGCATGCAACGAAGATTCGCAGACAAAAGCCTCGACATACTTCAACATCTTGGGCGACGCGGCAGCACATGGCCTGAAGCAAGCTCGGCTGCCATTCGTGACTTGCGGGCTCGAATACTACACAAGCCTGTCCAGGCTCTTGTTGGGCATAGGCCGAACGTCCCTAGAGACTCTTTTATCGTTCATCAAAGCGAGTCAAGCCTACGTTCGATCTTGCACGAACCTGCCAGTAAAGACGCCCCAGATCAAAATGATGGTCAAGTGGTCAATGGCGTTGCGCCTCACCATGATACATGGGACAAGCTACCCAATTCAGCATTCGAATCTACCGCAACGAGCAACCCAGCTCAAGATAGTACTGGTCTTGGTGAGAGCGATAGCTATTGGAATGTCTTCCTCGGAGCGGAAGGTGCCGACGCCTCATCTCTTGAGTACTCTAGTGGCTTGGACCCGTTCTCCGGTTTCGACATACCTTTTTGGTTTGATCAAGGACAGCACTGGGACTTCTGAAGGTAGCAAGCTTCGATGTCAGTGGGTGCTGCGCGCAGTGGAAATCGGTAACGAAGCCTCGGACTTTCTTTCTCCGTCTCTCCCCGCACTTACCCAAATCGAGCACACCAGTGGCGGGACCAGCCGCAACAGCGCAGCATAAGAAATACAAGCAGTCTGAACATGGTGTTTCTTAGTCCGAGTATTGCGGGTTAAAAGACAGTACACATAGAGTGGCGCAAGATACCAATTCAGTTGTTCACGGTTGCCACGCCCATTCTCAATCCTCGTTTTCAGCTCGTCAACATGTCTTCAGACGCCAACAAACGCACGCACTCTATTGCGACTATGGGCGCTGATGGTATTGGCCCCGAAGTTGTCAATGCCGGTGTTCAAGTCTTGAAGAAATTGGCACAACTAGATGGCACATTCAACCTGCAATTCGAAGACTACGATTGGAGTTCTGAGACCTACAAGAAGACTGGTCAATACATTCCGGATGGGGGATTAGAAAAGCTCAAGAAGCATGATGCCATTTTATTTGGTGCTGTAGGCGCGCCAGGTACGTTACGAGGTACCGAGCTTCGCATATTAATGTGCTGAATTTATTAATAGACGTGCCTGATCACATTTCCCTTTGGGGCTTGCGGCTTGCTATCTGCCAGACCCTCCAGCAGTATGCGAATGTTCGGCCGACCAAGATTTTCCGAGGAACATCGTCGCCCTTGCGCAATGCGGAGCATGGTGATCTGGATTGGGTAATCGTCCGAGAAAATTCTGAAGGTGAATACGCTGGACAAGGAGGCCGGTCACACAAAGGCCAAAAATGGGAGACGGCTACAGAGGTTTCCATCTTTACTCGTCATGGTGTGGAACGACTTATACGCTTCGCCTTCGAAACAGCTCAGAGCAGACCGAGAAAACAGATAACAGTGGTCACCAAGAGTAACGCGCAACGTAACGGCATGGTTATGTGGGACGAGATTGCTGTTGAAGTTGCGAAAGACTTCCCCGACGTCAAGTGCGATAAAATGCTCGTCGACGCCATGACGTGCCGGATGGTTCTTGACCCAAAATCGTTAGATACGATAGTAGCGACGAACTTGGTGAGTAACACAATATGTGTCCTCGTCACGGTTTACTGACTTAACAAGCACGCGGATATTCTTTCCGACCTGGCAGCCGCATTGGCAGGTTCCATCGGCATCGCTCCTACCAGCAACCGTACGTACTTTCCTATCTCACAAACAATGCACCCTGCTTATACTAAGTGATAACAGTCGATCCCACACGCCAAAATCCGTCCATGTTTGAACCAATCCACGGCTCAGCTTTCGACATTACTGGCAAGGGTGTCGCAAACCCGGTGGGAACCTTTTGGACAGCATCTGAAATGCTAGCATGGCTAGGCGAGGAGCAGGCTGCGAAGAGATTAATGGAGAGCGTGGAAGCCATCACTGAGCGAGGCATTGCGACTCGCGATCTTGGGGGCAAAGCGTCAACGAAGGACGTGACCGATGCGGTCTGCGCTGAGCTAGAGAGGGTGTACAATACAAGTCGGTAGAAGCCAGAACCGGCATGATATTATGGAAACGATAGCCGCAGGTGGAGCTGTATCCCGGTCATTATCCGATACGGAACTTGATTTGCGGCTGATGCAGTTTCGCTTCAGGCTGACACCGTAATAAACGGACGATCACTAGAACACGAAGCCATGTACTGTCCGTCTATACAACCACTGGTACATTTCTATTGCTCTGCTTTCTATATGCATGTTCGGTAACTTCGAGGAAGGCATGCAAATATACTCAGAGAGTAGTCAGAACCTAATGGCAGAGCCGCTGTAGATCTCGTCTCCTTTTCGAGGTCCTGATCCAGGACAGGCAAGATTTACCAGCATCTCCATCGGCGACATCGCGCCGAACCATGCTTGTCGTCTGCGACATGAGGTAGTGGATACATGCGCGACCAACCCAAAGCTAACCCCCGCATCCTTCCCCGCACACCACGACTCAATTATCCATGGCCCAAAACAACTGCCGTGGGATGGCGCATCCCCCACATTATAGTGCCCGTTGCATCTCCAGCACTTTAGGATCGCATCTTCCATCTATCAGTTGCAGAATCTAGATTGCGCATCGTCCAATCCATCGTCGCTACCATAGCCAGATACGCGAAGATTGAGCGACCATGCCTTTGGGTATCTTGCAGGATTACAAGCTCGAACATGTCCCGGGAACCGCCCCTTTGAGCGAGCTTGGTCGTATTGATCTTGAGATCTCGACTGATGTTGACCGTGGACTGCTCAAGCATGATGCTACAGGGCAGATTGTACTCGTGCCGCAACCCTCTGATTCACCCAACGATCCGTATAATTGGCCAAGATGGAAGAAAGAGATGGTAGGTTGAACTTTTTGAGACCGATTAGGATGCTTATACTGACCTGATAGTTTACCCTCGTCATTGCTTACGGATGCGGTTGTGTAGGAGGTAAGCTTGCGAACTCTGGGCACCATGTACTGAGCTAATGGTGTATTTCACAGCCGTCGGCCCACTGCTAACGCCGGCTTTCGTACCACTGGCACAACAATTCAACGTCCCTCTACAGAGGTTTACACTAGGTGAGCTCGATGCCTCATAGTTCTATCATTGGAGCATCAAGCTAACACACGATTCCTTCATAGGCTGTAATGGTTCTTGTATCGTCGCCATCGCATTTGGGAGTCTTCTGTGCAACACACTAGCTGTGAAGGTCGGAAGACGACCAGTCTATCTTATAACCACGCTGGGTTTGGCCGTGTCGTGCTTCTGGGCTGCAGAATCTACCAGCTTTCCTTCTCTGGCAGCGGCCAGAGCTATCCAAGGGTTGTGCATGGGTATGTCCATTTCACATATAGTCGAAGAGAACTTTCCTGACGTCCAAAGCACCCTTCGAGGCACTCATTCCAGCATCAGTCGGAGATATCTGGCATGTACACGAGCGCGGATTCCGAATGTCCATCTTCAATCTCGGTGTCCTCGGTGGTATCGTAAGTTACTTGGCGCCTGCTGCATTACAGCTAGCTAACGTATTCCGCAGAACCTAGCGAGCCCAATCGGTGAGGCACATCAGCAAGATTTCGCATTCTGAAGCTAACAAGCCCAGCTGGATCCGTCATCCAATACGGCTCTTACCGCATCGCAATGCACGCGATGGGTGGTGCCTTCGTTGTCATGCTTCTCCTCGTCTTCTTCTTCATGCCCGAATCCGCGTACCACCGCCACAACGTTCTCAACATCGATACAAGTTCTAAAACAGTAGAGACCGACACGATGGAGAAGGAGAAGGCCATTGAGCGTATCGAAGACCACGCGGTCCAAGTATCCGTCTCTTCGGAGCGTGCCGACCCCTACGTCAAGACTCTTATGCCATGGTCTGGTTATTGGGATCATGTCTCCTTTTGGCGCACATTCTTGCGTCCTTTTGTTGTGATCATGAGCCCTGTAGTCATGTGGGCCACCTTGCTCTTCACGATCTGCATATCTTGGCTAGTCTTGATCTCTATCACGCTGTCGCAGATCTTCTCCGCTCCACCATACAGCTTCTCCGTTAGTGCAGTCGGCGCAACGAATGTATCGTCATTCGTAGCGTCGTTACTGGCCACGCTGGTAGCCGGACCGATCATCGATGGAGTAGCAAAGTTCATGTCGACGCGCAACAACGGTACTTTCGGTGAGTCTTCTCCGTTCAAGTTGTGGTCTCAGCCGACTAACAATTCTACAAGAACCCGAGTTTCGTCTTCCTGTGATGATCACGTACCTAATCTTCACTGCGACTGGATTCTTTGCTTGGGGCCAATCGCTCTACAATCAAGACCCGTGGCCGATTCCCGTCATTGTCTGCATGGGCCTTATCAACCTGGGTGTTCAGTTGGGAACTACCGCGGTGGTAACCTACGTCTCCGACTGCCATCGCGAGCAGGCCGCCGAGGCCTTTGCCATTATGAACTTCATCAAGAATCTCTTTGCATTTGGCTTGACGTTCTATGCCAATGACTGGATCGCGGTACAGGGTGTAAGAGACGCGTTTTATGTTATTGGCGGAACTACCATTGCTGTCACGCTGGCAACGATTCCAATGTACATTTATGGAAAGCGTGCAAGGAGTTGGGTGAAGAGGTCTGGAGTGCTTGATAGTGTTCTGAAAGTCGAATAGGGGATTTAACCGCGCAATGAAGATCGGTTCGCGTCTTTGCTTGACCTTCCCCGTTGTGAAGTTTGTTCTCTAGAGCGCCCTCGAAACATCTTATATCAGCACTAACGTAAAGCGTTTACGGCGTCGTGTTGCCAATGCTAGGTTCTTCTCACTTCGTGCATAAACAATCTCCTTGACGGCTTCCGGCTGTTCTTTCTCCGTATATGGACACCAAGCAGCAAGCGGTACTGCTAATGATTGCCAGCAATACGATATGTTCTGCGTTCGACTCGTATAATGACGAATCGATAGACCGCTCGACCCTTTTGTTTCAGTATAAACCTGTGCCGAACATTTTCCAGTTGATGTTCAGAAGTAGTTCTCTCGCCATTGTGTGGAGGAATCTCGCGGTACGTTCGGCATTGTCGGTTTGCTGCAGTCTCGTAGTTGCTCGATGGGTGACGCTGAGGTCGCTGTGGTTCCGTGGGCTTTGGGAAATGGATGCGCGTTATTATCGGGTCGCATTTCCGGTGCCTTGAGCGTATCATGAGTTTGGTAGGTAAGAATGGATTCGCTAGATTTTGATTGAGATGCCGCTTGAGCTGGACTGTCAGGATGCCGTGCTTGAAGCCATGCTGCCAATTGTTCGTCTGTTTGTAGAGGCAAGCGCTTCCACTCTTCGAGCTTTTCAGCCTTTGAGCGTTGAGGCTGCGAAGCTTGCGATATTGCGCCCGACAAGTGACCGTCCGTCAATCGTGTTGCGTTCTGAGTTTGGAGCGCGACGAGAGAAGCGGAGAGTGCAGCCTCGGTATCCGCAAGCCGTTTCTCAAGAGCGGTGATATATGCAGCCGGAAGCCCTCTCTTGCCGCCCTCTTGGTAATGGCATGGCAGCGACGAAGTTCGACATTGAGTGCATATTGGGCTGAGGTCGTTAGCTGAAGCTCCACAGCTGGTATGTAAGTTACCGACATCTTCCGGTCACATTTGCATTTCTTCGATCTGCAATTCTCACATGCGATAGCATTCAGCTGAACCTCCAAAATGCGATATCAGTGTGTGTACCATCATGTCGGACAAGTTTGCGCACCGCTTCAGTCATCTTGGGATGATGGGTGATGCGATGACGCAGTGCAGAGCTTCAGAAGGTGTGGCTTGGTGATCCGTGCTCGGCCCCTAATTCTGCCTGCGTCCAGCCCCCTCATCGTTGCGACTAAACAGCTACTTCGCAGCTTGCGACCGTATACAGGAGAAACCCAGCTACGCCGTTAGGCGACTACAACACCGTCTCTTCTGGCTATAATCATTTGCGCTTTTACTGCAACTTTTGAACCAGTCTATGAAGGATACAACACTTCAACTCACGTCCGGACGTTTGACCGTAGACCCTGAACCAGCCTCTATCACGACCCATCAACACACCAGAGGTGCCGATCGACTGACAAAGCTGCAAAGTTCGACAACGCCAGAGAACGTGTGGAGGATCCGGCAGAAGAAATTCCCCGCATTCAACCTTACCTTTTGTACCACGGACCGCGCTGAATGCGGCTAGCGGCGAGGTGTATGTCGGGCGTCGGGTCAGTTGTACCCAGCCTTGTACACACACTTACATGCACGACTCGGACGCTGAACCCGGTTTTGCGAGATGATGGAGCCTGTCGTGATACGATATTTATCCGTGTTGTTAAGGGCGTAGTCATTACATATCCAACCAGAGAGTGACCAAACTTGGCGACCTGTACGCTATCTCAGAGAGGTATCTGTATCTGATGTGATCAACGGTCATGCTTCATGGTGAAGGATGCGATCAACCATACCGTCGGGCACAAACCCCGCAAAGCCAAGGAGAAGGGATACTGGATATGCATTCCCTAGTCGGTTCGACGGTCTGTTGAACCGACGAAGTGCTTGGCTTCCAGTATGTAAACTGCGAAAGTGGCATACTGTGAATCAAACCCAGAGCACCACGGACTTGAATATTTACCTCCTCAGATAACTATGGCGCCAGCAGTTGCTGGTCCTGGTGATGGTATCATTGAGCGCGTGGTCGCTGCCGATAAAGTACGATGGTGGAACAAACCCAATCTCCGGCGTCTCTACCTATTGCTGGTACCGTTCTGCTTTTTCATAGAGTCCACTTCCGGGTTTGATAGCTCAATGATGAACGGGAGTAAGTACTATTCACTGAGGTGTCACTAGTGTAACGTATGCTGACCCTTTATCCACTACCTAGTGCAAGCTCTCGATTACTGGCAAGAATACTTCAACCATCCCAAAGGAGGCCAACTGGGATTGTTAGTTGCATGCTACAACCTCGGGGCTATCTCGAGTATTCCGCTCGTTGCTCTCGTTTCAGATCATCTTGGAAGGCGAAAGAGTATCGTCCTTGGATCTACTATCATGATCATCGGAGCAGTTATGCAGGGCCTGTCACAAAACCGTGAGTACACCAGCTCCTGTCAAGATGAATGGAAGAGCGGTCTCTAACTGTTACTTACTCAGTTCCGATGTTTATCTTCAGTAGAATCTTTTTAGGTCACGGTATCGTTTACGCTATCATATCCGGTGCCGCCCTTCTTGGCGAGTTAGGTCATCCCAAAGAACGTCAGTTCTTGGGAAGTCTTTTCAACGCATTCTTTGGAGTAGGCTCCGTACTTGGTGCTGGTATAGGTAGGACATGCTACCCTTTGAGGCATATGTGAAAAACGTACTAATATCGGCTACCAAATTCTAGTCGTACGTACGCTCCTCATTCCGAGCGACTGGTCTTGGCGCCTTCCCTCCATCCTTCAAGCTGTTCCATCTGTCATTCAGGTTGTGTTCGCTTTTACAGTACCAGAAAGTCCCCGATGGCTCGTCTCGAAAGACCGCAGTGAAGAAGCTCTCGAGATATTGATCAAGTATCATGCAGAGGGCGATGCTTCCGCTGAGCTTCCTCACCTTGAAATTGCCGAGATTCGTAAAGCGTTGGAATTGGAAAACGAGTCGCGACAACGTGGCTGGGCTGAACTCTTCCAATCGAAAGGCATGCGACATCGCGCCCTTGTCGCCGCTGGACTTGGCGTCTTTGTCCAGTATAGTGGTAAGTTATGTCTGTACGAAATGCATGTGAGACATACACTGACTTCGCATGCTCACAACTGCAGGTAACAATCTCATCAGCCAGTACCTTGTCCCTATTCTGGAAAAGATCGGTATCGAAGACAGCCACACCCAAGTGCGCTACAACGTCGGCTCCGAAGCATGGGGCTTCCTTATGGCACTTGTCATGGCGACCATCACACCTCGATATCCACGACGCAGGATGTACTTACTGTGTGCTAGCTGCTTGTTATGCGTATACACTGCTTGGACTATCGCACAGGCCCGTAACCGAATGACTGGATCAAAAGAAACTGGCTACGCTGTGCTTGTCATGATCTTCCTCTACAAGCCCGCATACAACATCGCCTACAATGCTCTCACCTACGTCTACATGGTTGAGATCTTCCCATACTATGTGCGTACCAAAGGCCTTTCGTGGTTCCAGCTCTTCAATCGCTGCTCCGTCATGCTGGGTTCCTTCACCAACCCTATCGGACTCCAAGACCTTGACTGGAAGTTCCTCTTCGTGTATATTGCTTTGTTATCTTGCGAGATCGTCTTCATCTACTTCTTGTTCCCGGAGACATACGGAAAGACGTTGGAAGAACTCACGTTCCTGTTCGAAAGTGAGAAGGAAGACCGCGAGGCGCTCGCTGCAACCACCGCCAAGGTCATGGGTCAAGAAGGCAACGTCACTGAGCTTCACGAGGCGCCGGAGAAGAAGGCTTAGGTCGCAGATAGAGTGGTGGCTGCATCTAATCTCAACGGTTCTTGGAAAGGCCGTTGCATTTGGCGCTCACGAAGTGGGTTTCGAAGCCGCTTGGGAGGTCGCCGCATTCCTTCAGATGGTTATGAAACATTTGTGGGCAAGAATAGCGGGATAAGATGATGCATAACCTGTGGCTGTTCAAGCATAACTCATTCTTGCTCATGCTATGTCTGAGTTGTAGGATAGTGAATCGGTTTTTCGTGTACAACTTCACATAAGCTTCCCATAGTTGTTGTAGCCTACCGTAAAGGACAACCGGCTTGCGTATAGTTGGTCGAGAAACGTCTCTCACGCCAGCCCGGCATCATGTTTCGCACCGTTGCCTATCCTGCTGGCCCGCTTCACGGCCTAGCACGCGGCGCAGCAACATATCAAACTGGAGCTTGTGCTCGTGGCGGCAACATATCGCTCGCGATTCATCATCGCCAGCCCCTTGAATAATTGAATGAGTTGGCAGTTGCGCGAATCTCCACCCGAGATTTGTAAGTTTGTTTCTGTGACACGATGCACCCAATAGTTCGTTCTCTCATACGACCATTTCACCGATCAAGCGACGGCGGCTACAGGATACTGATCTCCGACTGATCGGGACCTGTGGAGAATATCCCGAACGAATGGGAATCTGGCGGCTTTGAAACAACAACAGACGAGCATGATCTTGGCCAGTGAGGTTACACGACGAACGCAGCGAAGCCTCGATTGCCGCGACCCGACAGGCTGGATTTAGCTTGGGCCGGCCCTGGTACACGTGTCAGTAGCTAGGGAACATCGAATGGCATACTGAGTCTCAAGCCACGGTAGTATCAACGTAGTAAGCGAAGTGTTGGATGTAGATGGAAGGCTAGGTAATGTGAGACATACCACCATCCTCTCAGCGTACCTACCTATTCAGGCATGCTTTACCTCCTCCTTTGGAAAAGCTGCTGTTGTACGTCTGCGTCTATAGCAGCAAACGCCGTCACGTGAATCCTGCTTCATGCATGCATGTGTTGTATGCTTTTCACCGAGACTATGAATGCACGATAGAAGCGACGTGGAATATTCGAAAAATAGACGCATGGCTAAATATTCCTCGACATTGATAGGTCGCTATTAATAAGTGGGGTTATCGGCTCCGCGCCTAACGATAGCGCAACCCCGCTATCGCGACCCCCAAGAAATCCTCGAAACATTGTCCTCTGAACCGTTTCCACGACCACAACCCCGCGCAAGTTCATGCGATAACCTCTGAGGCTGGAAAGCTGCATCATAATTCGCTCGATCAGCATACTCAACATGTCTCTCCAACCTCCCCATCCTCACATTGGCTATAATGGCTGATGAGGCTCGAAGCGCTTATACAACTGTGCCGCAACGTCATCCAAAACGTGATCTCATGATGGGGCCAAAAACTAAGAATAAGACTAGCTGCATATGTTTAACACCACAGCGGCAACAAGATACGCTAGCCTAGGCATGCGGCCACACCCAGCGGTTATACACAAGCTCTGAACGGCTGCACCCACGCTGGTGCTCCGGCCTGGCAGCTCCCGAGGCCTGCGCCGCACGCAGACGTCCTGGAAACGGCCTTCAGCCGCCTCTCTTGGCACGCTTTTTGGGAGGTTGGATCGGGTCCTTGCGGCTAGCTCGTGCCATGAATGGTGGGTTGGCTCGGTAATGCACCAATTTCCAGAACGAAGGCATAGTTTGCATGTACGCCGCAGTAACAACAGTGTTTGATGTTTCGAGCCCGCTCCAATCATGGAAATGGCGTGTGGAGGCTTATACTGCAGCTGAATGTCGTTATAGTATGGCGATGGTAAGCATACACAACGTATCCGCAACTTCATTCTAGTCTGGCATCATTCATCAGCCATCTATTGTTCTCCTATATACATTTCAGTTTCTCGTTTGGGTCTTTGGGAAAGCAAGCACCCTTGCTACGCCTTTTCCAATGCCGTACCCCATCACCATACCTAGCTCACCATCGGACATGTCTCGACCAGAGCGTAGTCCCATGCATTGGCCCACATTTCCAGACGTGCCAATCTACCTTGATACAGGTGACAATCGTTTGGCAACCAAGAGTTACGGAACAACGCCAACGACACCTACGACACCAGAGATCTCGCCGCAGGGCCGTCCAACATACCTCAGTCCAGCTCATATCAATGCGCCACCAATCAGTCCGGCAGAGCCGAGCCCTACCACAACTATCGAAACATCTTCTGATCATCGTTCAGTGATCTGGCCAATCCCGGAACCGCCTCCAGAGGTCAAGAGGCAGCAACCTCGCCGTCCTCTGCTTCGGTTCTTTCCCACAGATCGACCACGTGTTCGGCTTGATGATCCATCACCCAAGGTTCCCCACGTAGTGCCAGACCTGGAGAAGCAGGATCACTCTGACCGCAAGTCTCGCCTTGGCCTTGGCATCAGCGACGGCCCGCCCAGGCCGCCCTCCATCCGGATCCAGCCACCACCGTTTGATAGCGAGAAGGTGGAGCCGGCATCGAACATTGCACAGCGTATCGAAGAAAAGCTCTGGAGCTACAACTCCTCAGGCAATGTGATTGAGCGATGGCTTCTCGAAATTGTCAGTTGGTTGATCAGCGCTGTGTGCATGGGCGCGATCATCGCCGTTTTGATCGTTCTTAAAGACAAGCCCTCTTCTAAGTGGCCATTCGACAGTATCGGACTCACTCTCAACGCCTTTGTCTCAGTACTTTCACGTATCGCTGGGGCAGCACTTCTCCTCCCAGTCGCCGAAGCGCTCGGACAACTCAAATGGAGTTGGTTCATAAGAGGTGATTCGAAGAAGATGTGGGACTTCGAGATGTTTGATAATGCATCACGAGGACCATGGGGCGCCTTTCTTCTCCTCATTCATACGAAAGGCAAGACCATCGCAGCTCTTGGTGCGCTTGTCACTATCTTTGCCTTGGCACTAGATCCCTTCTTCCAACAGGTTGTTAGTTTTCCGGAGCGCTGGACACCGCAGAAAACCAACAGTTCTATCGCTCGGACTGTACGATATGAGCCTGAATTTGGAGTCGAGTATCAGAACGGGATACCCATCGTCCAGTTAGATGCCGATATCTTGTCGGTCGCGGACCCATTCTTCTTAGACAACGGGACGAAACCAATGCCTTTCGGCAATGCTAGTAGGGCCGAGGTACCTTTGTCATGCCCTAGTAGCAACTGTACCTGGCCGAGTTACGAAACCCTTGGAATGTGTACTCAATGTGTGGAAGCGCCTCAGCTTCTTAACTTCACGTGCATGTTTACACGGGTAGACTGGACTTCGACACTCAACGCCACAGAATCTTCCTATCCCAATGCCACAGTATGTGGATATTTCCTCAACTCTACTAGCGAGACACCGGTTCTTATGTCTGGTTACATACTTGGCGAAGACGGAAAAAGTAAAGGCGAGGCCTTGTTGATGCGAACTCTGCCTTTGACGACCAATTCCATGCGAGATCCTCTTTACGGGGACGGTTCCATCAATTTCAAGGACATGCGTAACCCAATCGTGGATGCGTTGATCTCCGGTGCTGCGAATGGTTCTGAAGTTTATGCCGACAAGATGCCAACACTTCACGAATGCGTGATATCTTGGTGTGTAAAGACCATTCATTCATCATACTATTTGGGTACATACGAAGAGGAGGTTACTCATGTGTTTCTCAACGAGACCAAGGGTCCGTATCCGTACGTGACCACTGAAATACCGGAGGAGGACATCGTCATGACAGATTACATCGAAAACGTTACGATATCCGCACCACCAACGGCCCAAAACTTCTCGGAATCTGGATGGGGCGTAAGCAACGACACTCATCTCTACTTACTCGCGATCTTCGATCGAATCTTCCCCTCATTCACAAGCGTGGCAAACACATCTTCGGAGCCGCTTCTCCGATGGAGGACCGGCCATCCAACACAGATCAGGACCAAGATTCTTGACTTCAATCCTTGGCTGTCGCCTAACAACATAACGCGGCATATGGAAAGAATGGCTACCACTATCACTAATGCGATTCGGTCATCGACCAGCAGTGAGTCAATATTGGGCCAAGCTTTCGACAACGAAATCTATGTGGAGGTTCGATGGGCTTGGTTGTCGTTGCCACTTCTTTTGCTTTTCATTAGCTGCGTGTTTCTTGTTTCCACAGTCGTCAAAAGTGCTACAGAGAAAGGCCAAGTTAGTATCAGGAAGAACTCGGCGATTGCTACATTGCTTTATGGACTTCCCGACCACTACCAGAAACGATTAGCGAAATCTGATTCGAAAGGTACGCCAAGGACAAGAGCCAAGAATTTGAGAGTCAGATTGTCAGCTACTACAGGATGGAGAAGTTCAGGAAATGTATTTACGCCTCTCACTCCGAAGGCACCCCCGAATCTGCCACCACCAGGGTGGATCTAGGGCTATCACCGCTTACAGCAGCTGCGATCCGAAGGACTATCATTGTACATGCCGCCGCAGTATTACGGTCAGAATACAAGGAAATATAAGCGGTTGAATAAGAAAAGAAAGAAAGAGAAAAGAAATACAAACACTATCTTCTGTTGAACCTCGGTGCCATACCCGTGTACCGACTGCTCTTTTCACCTCGAGGACTCATCCACATCATCGACAACATCCCGCCTGCGTGAGCCACCTTTCGGAAATCCAATCCTGCGCTTGTCCGAACCTCCTGCTGGGAAACCAATACTACGCTTACTGGAGCCACCCTTCGGGAATCCAATTCTGCGCTTGTCGGAGCCACCTGCTGGAAAGCCGATGCCACGTTTGCTGGAACCACCTTTTGGGAATCCAATCCTACGTTTATCTGAACCTCCTCCCGGGAATCCGATGGCACGTTTGCTAGAGCCACCCTTGGGGAAACCAATCCTACGCTTGACTATGTCTTCCTCTTCTTCTTCCTGTCCGTCAAGGTCACGCTTGCTCTCATCGACAACAACATACGATGCCTTCGTGGGTAGTGCTTCGATTACTGGCACTCTCCTAAGAAGATCCCGAAAGAAGTTGGATACGGAGGAATCGTCGCGGCGCTCGGCAGTTGGTATAGGGCTGATCTATTATAAGAGTTAGTGGTTGGGCATAATGACTTTGACCTGCATGGACATACGTTGCTGGTGGGCATGGGCGCCGCGATGATTGGGAGCACGGCAGATGCGAGAAGGAAGATAGCGCGAGCGTGCATGGTGGCGGACTGATTGATGTGTTGGGAAAGATTCTGTTACGCCGTCGAGTCTAAGACAGTGGAAGATGTCTTGGTAAAAGAGGGATGGTGAGCAACCGAGTCTTTCCAGGAAGAGATAGTAGGCCTGCTTGGAATGGACCTCAAACGTGGGAGCCTGCGATGCATTTAACCACGGTCATGGATGCAAGACGACGACCTTCGAGTGTGCATCACACAACGCCCTCATTACCACCACCCATCCACGGCGCTTCAGCCCGTGGTGACCCTCTCTACGATAACCGCCTTGGAAGCCACCGACGCGACGCAAGGTGCATGGGATGAGCACACACAGTGCTCATGCAATGTCGACGTTGTGCAATCATTGGGGGAAAGATGGCAAAGCATATCCGTTGGGGTACAGATCCGGCAAGCTGAAACGCAAAAACCGATAACGACTGGGACACAAGGCGTTAGGGTCGACATCATGGATGCCCAGCAACGCGACGTGATGGATCCAGAAGTCCCTGGCAACATAGTCACACTGAGTTATCACATTCGAAGCGCTGCGAGGCTCTCTCCAAGGCGATCCTGTAGACATACGATTTCTTTGAGTTTGAATTATCACCTGCGATTCCTACAACGCCAGAACGCTTTTTAGCCAATCGAAGGGTTTTAGGGATGTGAAGTGGCTTGGCGGCGTTTTCAACGTACCCCTGGAGCGAAAGCGATTGGCTCTACATGGTCGGTACCTTACGCCCTCAAACCGGCCCGGCGACCTAATCACATATTACCCGCACACGTGATGCCTGTAGGCGCTACGCTTTCAGCGTCATCTCACGATTTTTGTAGATAGACAATGAGATACGATGCACGAGAAAGGAAGCCACAAACTAGATATTTTCTTCTGTATCTTGCCTGCAAACAACATACCTATATCACATTTTCCACATGCGCCATGCAGCCTGTCTGATGTGATCACGTTGTGCATCGGGCCTTCTGGATCTCACGGCTGTAGCATTCTTCCCCTTTTCAAGACTCCCGATGGTAGCTAGGCTCCAAGTAATTACTAGTGATCGCGCATGCCGAGTCATCGTCGAGTCTTCCATGTATTCTACTTTCTCAAATGCAACTCTAGAGTATCAGAAGAGTCCCTGAGTCTTCAACCAATAGCAGATCGCCGTTAGCCGCTCGAAGCCAGCATCCACGTTACCATGTTCGTTCTTGGCGTTCTAGACATGAACCTTATCCGACGAGCCTTCATGCGTCCATAATGTCATTACCGCCAAGTTGGAAAGATCTGCCTGGCAAAATGCAACAGCCTTACGTGTGCAATCTAGATACATGAACCCGATAAACTGATACACCTGCATTGCGACAACACAATGCTCCTGAATCACGTACCCGACGCGTGATACTCGTTGAATGACCTCTATCTTGCGATCCTAGCTTGTGCTGAACGATGATATGCTTCATGTCTGTTCTTTGTATTGATGTATTCTGGTAAATCCTGCGACAAGTGAATTCCACGTCATCGTGACGGCCTTCTGAGTCGTTGATAGGTATTGAGTGGCTGACGCTGTTGTCCAAGACGGATGCGCGTAGCGTAGACAGCGCCGAGTAATCTCACTCTAGTCTGTAAACGTGTTCGAGAGATTCTGAAGGACCAGAGTATTGTTTGCACGCTTATGGGACCATGAAAACCTGTTACGCAGGTATAACCAACTCACATTTCTAAGGTGAACGCGAAGCCAGTCTGTACCCTGAAGAAGATTGCAGCCCTAGAATTTAGGAATGCGCCTGCGCTGGGACGTAAAGCTTGGACTATCCTCATGCTATCACGAAGTATTGATGTTCCGTGAATGGTGACGTAGTGGGTCATCGCGTACCGAAAAGTAGCGCGACAAAATCCTAGCGTCGTGGCCTCCCGGTCGATTCAAGACAATGGTTCAGGTACGCGAACCTTCTATAAAGCACGACATCCCAGCTTGCACTCCACTAACTACGCCTTAGAACAACCCGGCTAGTCCGAAAGCCCTGGAACCGCACGAGGCATGCAGTATCGCGCTGTCCGTTACGAGCCTAACTGCTAAACTCCAAAGCTGTGCCGCCGCGCGAAGAGATCGTCGCAACACGCTGGCCTACCGGCGCTAAGTCGACGTTGGAGAAAGGCTCGCCATCCTTATCGAACAGATTCCTCTTCTTGATGTCCACATTTTAACGCTGGTGAGCTTATGATCTACGTAATTGCGGAAAACTAGGAGAACTCGCAGGTAGATGAGATCGTTCGCCGTTTAGACAGAGAAACGAGCCTGCCCCTTCTCTTTGCGAACCGCCCAGAGCATATCCACCCGCCCGCTTTGGAAAACACATGGCAGATGGTCTTTCTTCGAATCTCACTGCCATAGAACCGAGCGACCGCGTACCTATTCAAGCGACTCCCACGTCAAGTCAGCGAGACACGGACGAACGTCAACCGCGTCGAGACCACGGCCGTCCATACGCATGCTCCAGGCAGTTTGAGCAATACAACGAAAGCCGTGCGTGGACTGTTCGCAACTTGCATAGGAGAGGCTGGCGGTATATAATGTATGCTAGCACATTGCGATACGATGAGTCTCAGAGGCTGTCAGCTTACTGACGAGCGCGACGTACATCTTAGCCCGACCACGATCTTTTATTAGTGCTTGCGATCTTAGGTATGATCGCGGCACTGTACTTTCGCCTTCATAATGAGCTTCAGCTTTGTTAAGGCGATGGGTCATTCCGGCGAGAAGAAGAACATGGAAAGAATCTACTGAGAATGTCTCTATTTCCACACCATAATGTGACATAGATGTTACACCTTCCACAACCAGCACATTGATACAGAATCCAGTAACTGTTTTGAGGGTACGTTCTAGTTCATAACCGGAGCCTTGACTGCGTCCGCTTCCACTAGCTAACGTCTGTGTCTGCTGTCTGGGATTCAAGCCTATCCACGCTCCAGAATCTGCCTTCTCAAAAAGAGCACAACCGCCAGTCGACCTCGAATCCACAGCGCTTATTCCTCTGATTTGAAGCCTTGCCGCTACATCGGTGCCACGTGTGTATGGTGCGTACACATTACCCATGCTCTCGGACGATAAGACCATGCAGGGATGTTGCGCCGCAGCGCTAATAAACAACCACTCGAACAACAGCTCTCTAACTGACTCGCAACCTCTGTAAGCAAGAAGACAGCGCTAATTCTCCAACTCCTACAGGCTTTGACAAACACAATCATGCTACTAGCCGCCCACAGTTTCAGCAACACCATCTGGGGGGAATGGCCAAGGGCTGCTAGCTGCTATGCTATATTACCACTCAACGCCACCACTTTCGAAATTCATGCTGCGACGCTTTCAACCTAAGCCAGGGCTAACAACCAGATTTCCCTGCAAATGTCCACAGAACCCATTCCTGTCGTTCGGCCTATATCTCGAGTTTCTACCCTTGAAGAACCGAACACTCAATCTCTACCATCACATCCAATTCCGTTGCAAGAGAAATCTCTTGATTTATCGCAACGCCTAGAGCACAATCTTGCGCGCTACAACGCATCACGCAATGTCTTCATAAGATGGTGGTTTGAGATCGTTAGTGTTTCCGCGAGCGCAATATGTATGGGTAAGTCAACTGTATCGACCTAGAATCAAAGTACCCTATGCTTACGCGACCACAGGTGCAATCGTTGGTGTGCTATACTATCTCCATGATCAGCCCCTTAGCAAGTGGCCTTCCGGCCTGACCATCATTGCTGTACTGTCGAAGCTCGCTTCAGCAGCTCTCATCTTACCAATATCGGAAGCCATTGGTCAGCTGAAGTGGACATGGTTTCACGGGAAAAACTCTAGGGACGCGTTCGATTTCGAAATCTTCGACAAAGCATCACGCGGCGCATGGGGCTCATTCATTCTCCTATATCGAACAAGGGGTAAGTCGCTTGCCGCACTAGGAGCCCTTTTGACCGTTTTACTCCTGGCGATCGACACCTTTTTCCAGCAAGTGACGGATCTTCCGGAGCGCTGGAAATTAGAGGGCGAAAGCTTCATCCCACGTGTTATACGTTATGAACCAAAAGTCGAAATGTTGTACGACACTAGTTTCATGAACAATGAACCGTCGACTATAGTCAACACCGATCTTCAAACAGCATTGTCTCCGTTCTTCTATGACAAGAACGGTACTTTTCCTCTCAAGATCGGAAATGCTACCCAGGCCGAGATACCGTTAGTATGCCCTACTAGCAGGTGCGAATGGTCATCTTACGAGACACTGGCGGTTTGTAGCGCTTGTGAAGACGTCTCACATCTACTTGATTACGCTTGTCTCAATACGAGTATGGATTGGATAAAGAATTCATCTGGCCTTGGAACGGGGACTTCTTTCCCTGATGGTAAGTAGGTCTTGTCAATCTTCACGTCTCTTCCCGCGCATGGAGTCAGCCTTGTCTAGTCTTCCATGTTAGCCCAGGTTCTCGCTAATCAGAAATGTCACAGGTACTGCTTGCGGCTACTTTCTGAACGCCACGAGCGAAAGTCCTGTTCTCATGTCAGGTTTTCGAGTGGAAAACGGCTCCGACTTACTACATGGGGAAACGCTACTCATGAGAACTTTTCCGCTTGTCACGAATCCATCAAGACATTCACTTTACGGGGGAACCATAAACTTCAAACACATACAGCACCCTATCCTAGACGCAGTAATCGTGAGCTCCTCGGACGGTACCGTGGGCAGCGTCTATGCGAAGACACCCCCGGTCGCCCAGGAGTGTATGCTGTCATGGTGCGTCGAGACACTTCGCTCCTTCTATGATTCGGGGGACTACGAAGAGCAGGTTGTCGAGACGTTCATGAATACGACTAGCGCAGAGTGGCCATGGTGGACTCAGGACTATCCCGAGCAGCAGATGACCCTCACTGAATTCAGAACAAACATTAGCATATTCCCTCCATCCGCAAAGAGCGGTGCCATCCCTTTTGGCATTTCGAACGAAACCTTTCTAGATCTTGTCATCATCTTCGATGAGATCTTCCCTTCACTGATTACGGTCGCTGATGGGACGGCACCACCTTTTGTGAAGATAAGAACAGCCGCAGTCGACAACGTCTATTCTCGCCTTGTCCACTTCAGCCCGTGGCTCGCTCCTAATAACGTCGCCTTCCACATGCAACGGATGGCCCGCACCATGACGAATGTGATTAGGTCAGACACGAACAGCAATGAGCTTGTTGTTGGTATTGCGCAGGCGCTTGAAACTTACGTTGCAGTTCATTGGGCCTGGCTCACATTTCCGTTGGTTATGCTGTGTCTGAGCATCATCTTCCTGGTCGCAACCATGTTGAAGACTTCGAGCAGTAGTCACGATGATGTTGGCATATGGAAGACATCAGCAATGCCAACGCTCATGTACGGTTTGCCGCAAGACATGCAGAAGGACATCATCTCGACCACGAGCTCGGGCGGGTCATCGCACGAACGCCCACGCAAGGTCCGAATCAGGCTGTTGCCAAAACAAGGCTGGAGAGTGTCTGGGCAAGTGCAGCTTGCACCGGCGGCTCCTCCAGGTTTCATATAACTGCAAATATCTATTCATAATACCCACATGTAGATGAAACGATTTTGGATGGTAGCCATGTTCTGTGAATACCTGCTTACCACACTGAGTATGATGCCACATGCGGGTAGTCATGTCGTGTCACCAGTATTATTCTTAGCTCCATGGACGACACAAGCACTTTCTCTGCTTCTTGCCTGCGAATACATATGAAGCACTACGTGTTGGTAAGGAGCAACCCAGGTGTCATCATAGGCCAAGTTTTGCCCAGGTGCTAATCGAGCCCTAAATCGGCCAACGCCTCCAGGCTCCGCTGGCTCTCACCGCTTTTCGCCCAACTCCCTTCAGACCCCATCTCTATTTCTAACCAGAAATACAACACCCTCCCCGATCTTGAGTTCGGTGCTGCATCTGATTAGCCTGATCTACTGCTTAACACAATGTTGGCCACCACGTCCGGTAGTTTTCAGCCGAACGCTGTGCCTCAGCGCTAACAGCAAAGCTCCGATAGGCTGATGATAACAAAGCGCAGGCTCAAGATGTAGATGCAGAGAGTATGCAAAACTCAGCGCTACACCTCCATGATGACTGCAGATCTCATGGCGTTCATGTTTAAACTGTACAACCTCGTAGGCGCCTGTTCACAATTATCTTGCTCTCAAGTATCTTCGAAAGATTATTATATCGCATGACTACCAACCCTGACATTCCGCATGAGTTACCACAATTCCACACCTCATTGACACAAACCCTACAGTAATGGCCTCCATTTCAACGGCGACACGATATCAGCTACCATGGATACAACGAGACTGGCGAAAAAAACGATATACGCAATATTCGCCAAATCCGTCGGAAAACGCGAACCCATCGCTTGACTTCACACAAAGAATAGAGAGAAAGTTAGCCGTTTACAACGCTTCAAACAATGTGTTCAAGAGGTGGTTGTTTGAGATAGTGAGTTGGTGTATCAGTGCGGCGTGTATGGTCGCAATCATCTGCATCTACCTTCGGATCAAAGATCACCCTCTATCTCAAAATGGAGCGTATATTAACTGGACCAACGTTTTGGGTAAGGTTTCTTCGGCCGCTCTGATTGTGCCAACGTCGGAGGCACTTGGTCAACTGAAATGGAATTGGTTTCACGAGTCCAAGGCTATGTGGGATTTTGAAATATTCGACAAAGCTTCTAGAGGACCCCTTGGCGCTCTAATGCTGCTCTTTCGAACAAAGGGTCGCTCGTTGGCTGCGCTGGGCGCACTGCTTATCGTTTTGCTTCTTGCGATCGACACCTTTTTTCAACAGGTGGCAACTTTCCCGAGTAAATGGACTCTACACGAACTTCCTGGAGAGATACCATACGTGATTCGTTACGATCCACCTTTCCAACTGGAATTTTCGGGCGGATGGGAGACCACCCGTTATAATTCCGACATAATGGCTGTCGTTCAACAATTCCTTTACATGAACGGTACTAAGCCTATTCCATTCGGCACAAGTTTTCGTCCAGACATACCCCTGTCTTGCCCTACCAGCAACTGCACTTGGCCAACGTACGACACACTTGCTGTCTGTAGCAAATGTGAAGAGGTCAGCGACCTCATAGACATCACCTTTGCTTGTTTGGATACGACGGTAGATTGGAGTACGAACTGGGAAGGACCTCTTTCCAAGGTTCCTTACCCCAATAACACAGTGTGTGGGCATTTTTTGAACGTAACGTCGGACCTTCCTATCCTTCTCTCGGGCTATACCGTCCGTACCAATGGAAGCGATATCCACGATGAAACTCTGCTGCTTAGAACGATACCCCTCACAACTTTCTCGAACAAATCACGTCTTTACAATGTTGGATCGGTGGCTTTCAAGAGCATACGCAACCCTATTCTTAATGCGTTAATAGCTTCCGCAGCCAATGGCGTGGAAAGCGTCTATCAAAACAAAACTCCTATGGTTCATGAGTGTATTCTCTCTTTGTGTGTCCAGACCATTGAGTCATTCTATGACCTGGGTGGATACAAAGAGCGCATCATCTCATCCTACTTCAACACCACTAATGGGCCAAAGAATCCATGGGTCTCATGGGAGATTCCGGTTGGAGAAGGCGTTGGAACATGGCTTGGATACGACGAGAACGTTACTATCATACCAGCAAAAAACGATTCCAACGGTATCAAGCCTACCGACACGACGACTGAATATGGCGCCAACAACATTACTGCTAGTGCTCTCATGTTTACTTTTGATGATTTCTTCCCTGCTTCACTCAGCGTCAACAACATCTCTGCAATACCCAGACTCAGATACAGAGAATTTGAAAGCGGACCTTGCCAGCGCTATGTTCCATTCAGTCCCTGGATGGCACCTAACAATCTCACGCGACATGTAGAAAAACTTGCTATAGCAATGACGAATCGAGTGAGGTCTTCCGAAAGCAACGAAATGCTGCAGGGCAAAGCGTTCTACAGCGAACAATACGTGCTAGTACGATGGGAATGGCTTATATTTCCATTCTTACTCTTGGTGCTCAGTTTGGTGTTCTTACTCTCGACAATTATCAAGACTTCTAAAGATACCTCGACCGGCATCTGGAAGACATCAGCTATGCCGACACTGATCTACGGCCTACCAAAAGACGCACAAAACCAGCTTAGTCTCGCATCGTCATGGGGTGACTCCGAAAAAAGCAGCAGAAAGGTTCGGATTAGGCTTTTACCAAACAGAGGCTGGAGGGTATCTGGTGTCAGTCACCTGAGCACCTCACCACAGCTGCCACGTCCTGCTGTACAGGCTCCACCCGGTTGGATATGAGCATCTAGCGATTTGTTCCCTGCTTTTTTCATCTTCTTCTCCAATCTTTTCTCCTTCCGCGATGGGACTTCACTGTCAGGCCCTTTTAGCACAATACCCGGATGGACAGTTGCTAGCAGCAAAAGTGCCAACGTCATCGGACTGGCATCAAGTCCTAAGGCATAACCTTCCGTCCCAATGAGCACATTCGTCGATTCATCGATACCAGCCGAGAATTCGACGAGCCGAAAGATGATACGTATCGTGACGAGCCCCAGGACAGCATACAACGTATATATCAGCCACTTCCATCGCGCAATTCGTCTCCTGCTACCATTCGCATCACACAATTGGCCGTCGCGCTCCAACTCCAGCACATCGACATGAAACTTTATAATCATCCCCAGAAATATCAAGATGAAAAGTTGCTGCACACCCACACCGCTCATGTACACATTCCTACCTATCTCGATTGCTTTTGCCCCATTCTCTTGGTTCATCATCAGTCCGCCGGCTGCCTGGACGATGAAACTAAGAATATCAAGCCACACGAACCAGCGACCCATCTTCACTGCTTCGATACCCCAAAGTCTCTTCTTGGGATGCAAGAAGTGGACCAATCGTCCAGCGGTCATGTATACGAATGCGTTGATCCATAGTGGCGCTAGTAGGAAGAGCAGTGTCGATGAAGTCGCGTATGCTTCGTTTTGTTGGTCTCGTGTGCCGAGGGTGCGTAAGATGAAGGATGCCAGTTCCCAGGTTGCGCCCATGATGATCACCCAGCAGAAGTTCTTTCGATGGAGTATCGCAAGGAAGATGTGTACGATTGTAAGGAGGCCAAAAAGAACGGCGAAGGCGATAGCTGCGGAAAAGGAAGGGTTGTAGAGGTAGAGCGCGTTGCACGAGGATGGTGGGACGTAGCCATAAGGACCCGGAGCGGCGGTGGTACATTCTGGTGTAGCAGCAGCGCTAGATGGAGTTGTTCTTGATGCCATGCTCGATGATGGAAACAACGTCCTCTATGATGATGATGATGATGATGATGATGATATTTCAGCGAGTACTTGATAACAGAAAGAACACTGGAGCGTCTTTTTACACCTAATATCCTCGCAACACTTCCATGCTTCATATCGAACCATACCACTGAGTACGTGGACACTCTCAAAACCATTCCCAATATCCTCTCCATTACGCGTCCGAGTCTGCAGAGAAAGCCACATAAAGCAAGACGTCGTATACATTCTCCTGCTAGAATACTAGAAGAAGGCATAAGTTTCGTCAGGCAAGTACATGAGGCTGAGACGGATTTTCATGTTCACGAAATCAGCCTTACGACAGCGAAGCTAGCGCGCGGCTTGGATACGAGAAATCGCGTAATACCAGTCGTGGACGTAAGCGCCGTAAGACTCTCCGTACGCGGGGTATTGCAAAGTGTGCTAGGCTTGCGAAGAAGGTGAAATGGCTTTATGCGAACGGTAATTATTATGTATTCACTCGCTCATTACTATGATGTGAAGGTTCAGATTGCGCCAGGGTATCATGCAAAGCATCGTTCTCGGATGCTGTCCTTCTTTCGCCAGCTCTTCCAATCGCTTCGAATGTCGCTCCCATTCAACTTATTGCTCCATCTTCGCTCACCGCAATTCGTCGATTCGGCGCTGGTGCTTGCAGCTTCGCAAGCTGTAGCGCTTCTGGTACAACTGTCAGCAGCGCCCTCACTGTAAAGAATTCCGGGTTCAGACTTACTAGGTGTTGCTATTTACTTCAGAAACAAAGAAGCCATCATGCTCGAAGGCTCTACGGCCTATAGGTTTGAAGGCTTTTGTATGCTCAAAAGCACGCCCGATGAGATGCGCGAATAATGCGACACCTCGTCTATCGCTGACAGGTATATGAAGAGTCGTGAAGGGCCCGGCTGCGATGTTTTACGATTTTGCAGGGCATCAAAACCTTCTCAGACAAGCCTACCGATTAGCAAGCTCCCATCGCTCTCGTTCGCTCTTAACTCCGGGTTACGATACACAGTGTGCGCTGGTCTGGGTAGCACGGGACCTTGACTGTCCCAACTATCTTGACTCGGATTCCTTGATGATTCGGTTTCAGCCTGCTGTATATGAATGGTCGGAACTTCTGGTGCTGTGTGTGTCTTCGGAAACGGAGAGCGGAATTTCGGCCGCGGCATGGTCTTAGGAGGGTCGCTATACGACGGCAAAGGCTCGGGCGGCTCGAGAGTGCTGCACTCGATGAACTCGTCGTTGCGCGAGGTAGAGCGCGACCGCTTATGGGGCCCGCTTCCTGGTATCGAGCTGCGACGCATAGAATCACCGACGGAGCTGAACTTGCGTGCGACAATATCATCTAGGACGGACTTGAAGTCGTCAAGGAAGATCGTATCGGATGCGCACTTGAACACAAGCGCAAACCGCCAGTATGGGTTGATACCGCTGCTGGCTGTTACCTTCGCGGCGCTGACAGCAATGTCGGTTAGCAGGAAGACAATGGACAAGATCATGCATGCCAACATGACGCCGAACCTCATATTTATGCCGACTAGGGTCCAAAGGTTAAAGGTATAAGTCTTCTTGATAGCATGTATGAGCCGCCAGGTAGTGAAGATCCACCAGGGATCACGAACCAGAGCTTCCCAAGGTCGCATGCGAAGATTGACGGTGGAGCCGCTTTTGAGTTGATTGAAGTAGGCAAAATTCGACCATGCCTCCGCTATCCAGAATGGTTGAACGCAAAGTAACGATATGATGAAGAATCGAGAGCCCCAAAGTGGCAAGAATGGCCGAATCTTGAGCCACGATACAACGTTGTGGAGGAAGTACGATATAAAAAGCAGGCTTGCAGTCGAGCTGAGGTACCAGCCGTAGTTGGGGTCTTCGACAAAGATAAAGGTGCCGTGCCAAATGGCAAGAACAAGCTGAGTCAGTCAGTACTTCGTATGTGCGTTGAAGCGATTTGTATAGCGAGGCTTTTGAGTAAGCGGTCATGCGACCACCCAAAAGCAATAGCACTTTGCCGCGGCATCCATAACACTCACCTCGAGTAGAATAAGCTTGTGAAGCCATATGCCAGAGCGGTAGTTGCAGAAGACGATCAGAATGAGAACAATCAAGCTGCCAACGTTATATCCTTGAGCCCATGCTTCGAGAAAGCCGCCCTCCGTCGTCATACTCTCTCTTGTTGGTGGTGAAGTGCGTGTCGTAGCTGTTCCGGGGAAGCGCTTTGCCAAGGCGAGCAAATCCATGTTGCTAAGTGGTGCCATGATGTCGTATCTTGTTAAACCTCAGATAAGAGTGAAGCTGGAACTGGAGCCATGTACGGCGACTGTCCTCCAGTGTCGAGCGTAGTGAAGTGAGCACCGGAAAAGTGGGTCAAAGTTGGATCAAGACTCGGGCGGGTGAGAGAAAGCAAAACGGGACGAAAGAAACCTGGGGTAGGCTACCTTACATAGAATGGATGTACATGCCTGCGGGTAGATCGTGGAGCAAATTGCAACGTCCATACCTACGCCGCCCTTCCAGTGTGGCGGTAACAGGGCGGTCTGGCGGCGGGCACAGCGAGGCTGTCAAGGTTGCTGGTCGCAGCAAGCCTCCCTTACTGGCCGCGGGACGGCCAAACATCCGTGAATGTGATTACTTTGCCATTGCAACGGACATCCCGTCGCTCTAAAATCTGACAAACTCATTGTGCATTCGAATTCCCCGTTGCGCAGACGCATGGACTGCGCGTTGGAGCAAATGAGCGGAGCCGCGTTTTGGTGTGATGCGTTGTTGATCGGCGGTGATGTCAGGCCGTGGCTGAGGCGTGGTTGACAGACAGGGCGGCCTTATCACCTGCTTGACACGCCTGCAAAAACCTTCGACTGACTCAACGCCAAGGTCTATTGAGCCTCATTTACTGTGGTGCATTTGCGTGCGCTCATGCCTGCGTGCTACTTATCTAGCGGTCTACTTAACACCCGCTACTGTAGGGCGAGTAAGCCATTCAGCTCGCGGGTAGTATCTGTGTCGGGCGAAAGAGTAACCGGTGTCAGCACTCTACCTGTACTACGGAGGACGTTAACGAGAGGGGCGATCAATGCCATGCCGAGCAGACATGTAAGCCATGGTGACGGAAGAATTTGTCAGGTTGTCGAGACAAAGGCGAAAAGGCGTGAGCACGGGATCATCTTACCGAGTAATCTCAACGAGTGATCTGCTAGAAGAGGTTATCTCGTAAAAGAAGTAGATGCAATAGCTGAACAAACTGTAAACACACAAACAGTTGTCGGAAGTTTCACTCACAGCCCTGTCAGGTATCAAGAGGGGTGAGAACAGGTGGCGTTCCGATTGGTAGGCGCGACTAGTTCAGGGGTTCAAGAAGCAAGGGGAGGGAACAAAGAAACCCAGCCTCTCCACTTTCTTGTCCTACGCGTGGTATTGTTACCAAAACAAGCCCTGGAACATTATGACAGCTCTATTTCGCTTTGTCCGCGACACCTATGCGTGTCTTGCCCCACCGGAAATCGTCCAACTTGTACAAAGTGTAGAGCTGGGTGACAAAATTAACAGTCGGCCCAAAGAAGCCATACATCCAGAAACCGATAAACGACTGAATGATGTCAGGAACCGAATCCGAGGCTGCGACGACGACCAGCAGGTCGTAAACTAGCCGATAGTTCTCAAGAATAATCAGGTAGAATTTTGTTTGGTTGTCAATTTGTCCTAAGGCTTGATGTCAGAATAGTATCATCAGTTGCAACTACAGCGGTACGTACGGTAGTATCTTGAAACATAGAGCGCTGGGTTTACGGTCCAATGCAATATGGACGTGAATGCGGCTACTCTCTCGATCCAGCCTGTCGTCTTACGACTAAGAAGGAGACTGTCGCTCGTAAGTGGCCCTAACGTCCATCTACGTCTTTGACTCAGCAAGACCGAAGGGGTACTCGGCACTGTTGTGTACGCTCGCGCAGCGAGGCATACGCGTGTCCGGACATCGGCGTACTCTGAGAGAACCAGACATATGTGATCCCTGTCTTCGCTCATCATGGATCGGATCGTTCGGAACAGGCCATCGGTGCCCTTCGGGTAATGTCCGAATTTGCCCAGGATATGATCGCCGCAGGTATACTCATTAACCCGCAACAACTGGCAGCACCCGGGCAGACAGGTCACCTTCCTGCTAGTAAGACTTTGACGGAGGCGACGGCGGTGCTGACCAACCAGATACTCGGCGTTTTGGTAGAGGTAAGAAAATGAAAATGGTCCCAAGGCTTTAGGATCCGGTCGAATGTAGCCGGTCACTCCCTGACACTGTTCGTCTTCTCTTACTGTCTGTATCAGGTTGAAGACGCACTTCGTGTCAAATCTGGTATCTGCGTCTATTCCAACGGCATAATCCACAGACTGGATGGACGCCTTTTCCAGAAAGTTCTTCAGTTCAGCAAAGAGCTTGGATGAAAGCATCGCTAACGAAGGGCTCGAATGGCGCTGGTTGAACTTGTGCATGAACGATCGTATAAGGACGATGCCGTCTCGCTTGCCTCGGTTTTGGTTTTTGATAACGCACATGATTGGGATCCCTCTGAACTCGCCCTCGATGACCTCAACGTCTATGGGAGCACCGTCCCACGCAGTATACGCCTGAGCCATGGACCTACTTGACGGACGCTCAACAACATCCTCTTTCAAATAGGCAGCAGCTGTTTTGGGTTCACCCTTGCTGCTGACTCGGCCGTCGCAGATCACGACAATGACTTTCTTGTGGGTATCTAATAACTGCTGCTCGGCCAACGAATCCAATGAGGTCATCAGTTCTGGATACGACTCGTTATAGCAACATAGCAGGTAGACAAAGTTCTCTGGCTTCTCTGGTATTTTTGGTTGGCGCCGGTACAATCGTCTTACGATGAAGAAGATAATGACGAGCGTTATCTCGGTGCAATCCACCACAATCCGGAGCATCAGTTCTGGAATCAAGTACCAAGAGAATTTGGACCAATTTGTGAACATGTAGATAAGGACGCAACTACATTCTGATAGTTAGCGATTCTATTCTTGTACCATGAGTGGTGGCTCACTTACTTCAACGGTATCAAAATAGATAGTACGACATATTTCTCAAGCCTCAGCCGCCGCGCGTCAACAGTTGGCAGGTGTTCGATTGCGCTAGACAAAATCCGGGGCGAGAAGAAGAAGGATCGTTTCCGGAGGTTGTTAGGTGTACTCTTGATGTTTCCCGCAATATGAGCCCCCGAGCTCGTGGTCTCTAGGATTTCCATCGTTACGGACGTAATGTTTGGTGGTATGGTAGACGAACACTGCGACAGAGCAACATGCGATTTTTAGTACTTTGCACACTCTCTCGGTGCATAACGGGCCAAGAGGCGATCTGCGTTGTCGTCTCCACATCATTCAAGTATCTAGAACGTTGGGTATGATAGTGGTGTCAGGCGGTGTACACCAGGATAAAATGCAAAACACAATTCCGAAGTAGTTCCAGGCACCAGGTTACAAGATCGTCGTATCATGACCTGCATATGCAGGTTCGTCTTCCCTAAAACGTCTATTTGGAGTTCTTCCCCGTCTTGATTCCGTACCCGCTCGGAGTGACACCGGTGATATCAGCCTTCCGGGCCGCTGCAGTGCCGAAGCTAACCTTAGGAAGTATCGAGACTTGAGTTTAGTGTAACATTGCCGAATTAAATTTTGTCAACAATCGTATGGCCTGGTGTCTCGAGACGGAGTTGGAGTGTGCGTATGCGTGTGCGTGTGCAGCCTTGCGGGACTACGGATGTTAGGATGAACTGACGACCTAACCGCCAATATAACCGTAAATTCTCACATCATATCAACCCCTGTGTTCACTCATCCATTGCATCCGTTAGTTTGACTCGTCTTTTCTGCAACATGACTTCATCAGCGTTCACAGCATCTCAAAATCCATCAGATTTGCCTATCTCTTCATTGAATGAGTATGACAAATCGCCTGTTATCGCAATTATCGGGGTAGGCTATGTCGGAGAACATCTTATGGAAGTGTTCTCTTCCACTTTTCAGGTCATTGGCTACGATATATCGACTCCGCGTATAGAGAGACTGCGTTCGAAATATTCTTCGAAACGCCATACCAAGCTCTCAAACGATGAGAGAGACTTGAAAGATGCGTCTCACTTTCTCGTCTGCGTACCGACAACCGTAGGAGTGGACGGCAAGGTTGACTCCTCACACATTTGCAGCGCAATAGCCATGCTCCAGAATTATGTGAACAACGAGTCCATCGTGGTGATAGAAAGTACGGTCGCAGTTGGGATGACGAGGAAGTTCCTTGGACCACTGGCTGCATCGCGCGGTATCCTTGCCGGAATGTCACCAGAGGTAAGCAGCCCGCATAGAGGGGAAGATCGACGACTGACAGATACCCGAACAGAGGATTGACCCTGGCCGAGTTGAACCCCCTCCTAGATCGATTCCCAAAGTCGTCTCTGGACTTGACGACATCGTTCCAGGCTCGCTGGGTGCTATCACACGATTGTACGAGACAGTGTTCGACACTGTCATACCAGTCAGCAAACCCGAGGTCGCAGAAATGTCAAAGCTGTACGAGAACTGTCAAAGGACCATAGCCATCGCCTACGCGAACGAGATGGCAGACGCCTGCCAGGGTTTGGGAATCGATCCTTTCGAGGTGGCACACACCGCCGCAAGCAAGCCCTTTGGATATCTGCCTATGTATCCCTCACTAGGCATTGGCGGTCATTGCATACCCGTAAATCCGATATACTTCATGTCGACTTGCAGTCTTCCACTCCTCCAGCAAGCTCATGAACGAACCATATCACGTCCTTCGCGCATCGCCAGCCAGCTTCTCATTTCGTTACTGGAAGATACCCAGCGCAAGCACGGTGCGACACGCCGACCCAGTCTTCTCGTAGTAGGAGTCGGATTCAAGTCTGGCCAGTCGGATCTATCCAATTCGCCCGGATTGCAATTACTCAACTACATGCGCCAATCTGGCGAAGTAGACCTGATGTTCTGTGATCCTTTGGTAAACCAGGAGACCATACCTGAGGTGCCGAAACTGGAAGAAAGCTCATGGACACCGGACGTATTGAAGACATTTGACGCAATTGTGGTAGCTGCGAAACAACCCGGTCTGGATTACAATGTTCTAGATACCTTGTCAGATGTGCGGGTTGATGTTTGGAATCGATGACAGACTGGACGGCTATTGTAAAGCGGCCCGAGTCCCGTTTACAGAAGATTCTTTAACTATCTCCAGCTGGCCGTTGTGTCATGGGATACACCTTTTGGATATCCAGTATTAGTTGAAGGAAGGTACTCAGCCGGAGGGACGAAACTATCGGCCCGCGTAAATGTCCGAGAGGGAAGATCCTTCCTGCAGCACGACCGGCGAATTCTGTAACGAATCCGTTGAAATCGGGCCTACTGTGGTATCGTGCGGCTCAAGTGGCTAATGGAAGTCTCAAGATCCAAAAGCGGTGAGGATGGGTATCGCAACCAACGTTTAATTCGAACATGGAAATTCCGACGAGAAGCGCACGCAATCGTCTTACCTTACATTGCTACCACCGAAATGTGATTTACAAAAGCTGAACTATCCCCCAAGTCAGTCAGCCAGATATTCAACCCACCATGAGTAATGCATTGGGTGCTTTTAATCCACTTTACTACTATCCGCTGGGCAACGTATGTCCCATAGCACAGCCACTCGTCAGCGTCACGAACCTTACCTATGGAAGGTGTGGACCAGGAGTTCGCCAGCCGTCTTGTAGCCATTGCTGCGAGGAAGATGTGAGTAGCCAAAAACGCTCCGCATCCGTTACTTTGCTAATCAACACGCGTAGGGCTACCACATGTCTGATTCGAATCATCTTGGCGTACCGATGTGCCTCGAAGAGTTTGGACTAGCATGTGATGGCTCTAAATGGCCACCGGGATTTAACACGTCAGCTACTCCAAGGCCAAGGCTTGGAGATGTTCCGTATGGGAAGAAGTTCAGAAGTTGCACAGTGGAGAATACACTCGCGCTTACGTACGACGATGGCCCTTCACAATGGACCCCCGATTTGCTTGACATACTGAAGGAGCATGATGTCAAGGCAACCTTTTTCGTCTCAGGCATTAAGCTGTATGATGACTTGGTCAATCATCGCAGCGAAAAGACCCCTGCGATTATAAGAAGAATGTACAACGAAGGACACCAGATTGCGGGACATACTTGGTCCCACCCAGACATGGACCTGCTGGATTCGCAACAGCGGAGACATGAACTGATAAAAGGAGAGATTGGGTTCGTCGACATCTTGGGTTTCTTCCCAACGTACATGCGCCCACCCTACAACATTTGCGGGGCCGAATGCCAGACCGACGTCGGAGAGCTCGGATATCATGTGGTGAGTGTGGAGGCTCCCGCTATTTCGCAGATTACATGAAGAAGCAAACTGACTCCGACGAAAGACTTCGAATGATATCGAGGGCCGAGACTGGGCAGGTAATTATACCTTCTCCGAAGAACATTTTATGGCAAAAATTACGAGTAAGGGTAACCGTCAGGGAGTCCGCGCCTGGATGGGCTTAGCGCATGATACTCACAATCAATCGGTGTATCGCTGGACGCCATTCATGATCAAAAACGCGAAGGAGCGTGGGTTCAAGCTGGTGACAGTGGGCGAGTGCTTGAACGATCCAGAAGAGAATTGGTATCGGGATCCTTTGACGGGTGAAGCGGTTCGTGATCTGCCTCTCAAGGGTACGCTGTAATATAGTTATCGTTGTTTGAGACTTCAGCATGGTAGGGAAAATGGAACGGAGAGTTGAGTGTTTCGTGGAAGAAGTCATGATGGAATGTTCAAGAGCTGTCTTGAGCATGGTCGCGACGCGATGACGTCCCAGTCGCGTGCTAAACATCGTCCGTGCATTCCCAAACCGTTGTACCAGCAAGCAACCCAATATCCTTCAGTATCGATAGTCATGTCACGTACCGCCATACCACGCGTAGTACTACGTATTAGCTCAAGAAGCCCGTTATGCGCATCTTCGAGGGTAATTGAGGCGCCTAGCCGTAGAATGTAAGCTCCAATTGCTGTTTTGCGCAGACCCCTCCGCTCACACCACTCAGTCCTCTTTTGCGCCCAACACCACAATGCTCTTCTCATACCGCTCGGAGCTTTTCAGTGAGCACACACCTACAAAAGAAGGCCGGTAAAGCGAATAAAACCCGTGCGAGAACCGACTCAGCTCCGCCTGTGACCAACCCAGGGCCCCGCACACCTACCGATGAAGCCTACGATATCTCGGGGCTCGAGGCACGGATCCTCAGGGCCCTGGAGAAGCTCACGCATGATCTTAGTCAGCTGCGCGGTGGAGGAAGGATGAACCCGGATATTGTGGAGAGCTTGAAGGTGCAATTAGGCACGGCAGGACACGGCAAAGAGAGTGTGAGACTGGGAGATATCGCACAAGTCGTCCCGAGAGGGAGAGTGCTGAACGTCATTTGTGGAGAAGAAGCGGTACGTACAAGCGACCACTACGACAGCATCAGGCATTGATTCCATACAGCACATCAAGCCCATCAGCACCGCGATCGCAGCTTCACCGCACTCGCTCACGCCTCTTACACCCGAGCCCACCAACCCTCTCACGATCCAAGTCCCGCTACCACCTCCAACCGGAGAATCACGTCGCATGGCCGTGGCGGAAGCCGTTAAAGCCTCGGAGCGCGCAGACAAAGATATACAAAAGGAGCGACAGGACCACAACAAGAGGTTGAGGAACTTTGAGCTCAACCGCTCCGTGCTGCCAGATGATCTTCAAAAGGCGAAGAAGCAGATGGAAGAGGTGGTGAAGAACGGACACGAAGAGGTTAAGCGCATCAGTGACGGCGCGAAGAGGGTGCTTGAGAGTCAGTAAATAGCATGCTGGAATTACACTGTTTGAAAGGTACATTGATATCGTATCACAACACTCAAAAGCTCCGATATACCGCATGTGCGATCGCGAGGTGTCGCACCCATACGCCTCTCTACAGACCCCGCCTTAGGTCTGCCTTACGACCCCATGCATGTGCTTGCATACTTTCAGAATTATGTTGGCCAATAGAACTTTCGCGCACTACCTGAAGCAATACATGCCGCAAGACTCCAATTGGACGGCATGTCATGCAGCATGAACACGAGCAAAGCGAGAAGCTCAGCCTCCACAGCAGGCTTGGCACGACCCCTCGTGCATCAGCTGGTGATCTTGGGGACCACAACATATAGGAAGATGCTAGCCAGAGCAACTAGCTAAGTTCATTAGGCACCAGAGATGAATCTTGTAATCGATAGCTATGGCGACTGCTGTAAAGCCAGAAGACACCGCTACGGTCCAGCTTGACGAAGCAGACGAGAGGAAGGTATACATGTGTTGATATCCGTAACTTCTCGCTGCATCTATGTTGACCTAAGTTAGGGTCCTACGATCACAACGAAATCCTTACCATCAACTGAAGACGTCGAGATCACCCGTCTGCCTATGGAAGATGATCTTCAGCTGCTAACCAGCAATGGACCAAAATCGACGTTTCATGTCTACGACAAGCACGGGTGTCACAAGTGTATCTCACCAATCCTTGACCCTGTGCTAGAACAGCGTTCTGGTCCTACCGTTAAGCAGCAAAAAGCGAAACATAAGGAGCGGAAGGAACGTCAAGACGCCGGTCTTCCTCGTGTCGAACCAGACAACAATGCCTTCTTCCTACACCGACCGTATCTTGCTTTCCATGTGCCGCCCCGTGTTCTTTACATGGGCAACAGCAAGCGCATGGCACAACCTGCTGTTCTAGTACACGAGGGCTGTTGGTGGAAGGAGTATAAGCTCCAGCTACTTCCATCTATACCCGACATAATCGACCCACGTGGGGTAGTTGGATGGCGACACAATGGAGGTGACAAGAAAGCGCTCAAGCTTGACGATCACAAGTTCAAAGGCTATAAAGTCCGAACATGGAGACTGTGGGGTGAGACGGGTAAAGACTACGTACACTCTGTAAAAGCCATACGCCAAACTGGCGACGGTATGGATCCTGATGTGGCTAAAGACTCCAGCGTCAAGTCGGGAGAGCCTGCGATGGCCAACGAGGTAGTGTACCTGCGGTGGAAAAACCCTCTATCCCGTCACACAAGATGCTATCACTTCCACTATGCAGGCATCGACTTCTTCTGGAAAGGAACAGGTTCTGTCCAGGAATCTCGAACCTGTGGGCTCATGTTGCGCTTCAACCACTTGAAGCTAGTAGCCAAGTTACCAGTCCTCGAAGAGAAGGAAGAAACGCAAGTCGAGGTATGTTTAGGAACGTACACGTCGTCCATTGCAGTTAGGAAAAATGGTACTCTAGAGTTCTTTGACACCGTTATCTTGCGGTTGGTTGACGAATTCGCGCCATCCATCCTAGCTCGGCCAGAACAAGAACGTGAAGAGGAAGATGCAGTGAGGATTTCTCGGATGAAGAGAAGCACGCTTTATCAAGTATTCGTCGCTACTGCCATGTGCATGATCAAGAGCGAAAAGGAAAAGAGACACACTTTGCTGGATCTGATAATTGCCGGTATTACTGAGGGTGGTGGTGCGGGTGGGTGATTGTATACGAGTTCACCACTTGGGTAATTTAGCCAAATCCATATAATGTTCATGAAGGCGTACAATATAGTTTCGTGATTAAGAAGTGTCAAGGTACTGGTAACAACTAAGCCTCGGCTGGTGTAGCTATCGATAAGCCTCGCGCTAGACATTGGAGTTGGCCACCACTCATGACGTGGGACATTGCCTTTTCTTCAATTCCAACGGCGAACTTTCCTTCAACATCGCATTCCTGTACCCTGGCTTTTCTGTATGCCCGCATTTGCTTTTCCGAGACAATATATCTGCGCAGGCCGTTTGCGCGCGCACCGAAGATTCGATGTCTTCATTTCATCCCGAGCCGCAGCGGTTAGGCCTCTGAGGCGATATGGGCAGACGGCCACACAACACAAACCGGAAGATGACGGAGAACATGAGGAAGAAGGCACCAGGGAAAGAGTGAAGGAGTCAGGAGTAGAAGCTGAGAAGGAGGAAGGCGCGTTCACGCGACGAATGCGTAATATGAGCGAAGAAGCGTTGGAATCTGGAGGCCATGGCGCTATCAAGGCTGTCGAGGAGGCAGGATTTAGTGCAGAC